AAAGAAGTTATGAGAAATTTGTACTTTTGGTTGAATAGAATTTTGTTCGTATTTTTCATATACCTACACATATTTCAACTGTTCGAGGTATAATCTAACAGTTTGGATGTGTCACGAGTTTTTTAAACGTTTGAAGAGCACGTAACACAAGTGAATTTCAGGAGGATATCTATAACGTAGGTGGATAGCACGTAAACAGGGGGTATAAATTAAAAGATTTATGAGTTACAAAGCATTGTACTATCGGTGCTAGGAATAGGGGGACCACTTTCAGTTGATTAAATGGGACGGAGACTTAACTAGGAACGTTTTCGAAAAACTAACTGCCCATACCGCCTTCAGTAAATATCAATTTCCAATAAATGTTAAAGCTAGTGCACCGTGCAGCTTGTCTTTGGTATGGTTTTAAATGCAAATAATAATTTAAACGCGCTCCCACAGTGGTTGCCGCGCAACACAGATATTAGTTAGTTAATGCACGGCAGTATTTTCCTCAAAATGCAACTATTCATCTGCATAAAAACATTTAAACAATAGCTACTTCGAAGGCGTACATTTTTCATTATCTATCCGCGGTTGTATTAATTCCGCCATGCTTCTTATTTTATGCTCTCGTTGCAGGAAACTTGTGCATCTATAAGATGGGTTTCAGTTTGTTTAAAAATATTTCATAGGGATAAATTTCATGGTACGCTCGCATAATTATTCACTTAGGGTAATATTTGCATGTTTATTAATAGCGCCAGCTGGATGTGTAATCTGATCCATATCTAAGACTATATTTTATACGCACTAACTTCCCCTTAACAGAGATTTAAGAGGGTAACCTAGTTGGTCTCAGATAAAGCTTGATGCATCTAGTAGGGGAACCTAATTTAATTAGGAAAATGACTGATGTGTATGGAATTTTACAGGATCTGCTAAGTAGACAGAAATCAATGACCTTGGTAGTTCAGAAACAACTTAAGAAACTCGTGTTTCTTACACGCTAAAACCAACAAATACACTTCTTCGGGATGGTTGAATTTATGCGTACGGAATAGTAGACGGAAAACAATGATATTTAAGCAATATTTTTCCTAGTACCACAAGTATACGTGTTTGTGAAATCACCAAGGCTGAATGCAAAATCAATTTTTGATTAAGGCTTACGTATTCCCTATGATAATTTTATATTTTACACCGAGTTCTAGAATATGTTTGGAGTCTACTCGACGAATCTAATAGAGTAGATATAACTGTCCTACCAATGACCGAAGTAAGCACAATATACTGGGGTTTTTCTTCAGAATGTTAGCATTTTGGCCATATTCGTGTTCCTTGTTGACCTAAAAAGTTAATTTCAATTTTCGTGAAAGTCCGCAGTAGGATAATGTCTGCGGTAGTTTGACTCTCTTTGGCTGTCGGAACCTCAAAGGTGCATACCAACTTCGTCGATTGTGTTACACTATTATTAGCCTAAATAGCTTGCGTGTTGGTCCCAGCGTATGGGCGCGTCGCATATAATTCTCCGCGGCGGTAGTCATTCAACCTCCAAGATATGACATAAAATGCGTTTGGTTCTTCAAAGTGGCGTTTGCGTTTTTCCTGTGTCAGGTGTTTTTGTACCGTCTCCTAGAAAGACGGAGGACATTATGACCGGGCCTAACTGCAGCATATTTGTTTTTTATGTCGTAGTGCTGTTTATTCTACGTTGTAGGGGTTCTTTCCCCAAATGTAAGGGGAAATGAGCAAGATAGCTTATTTTAGGGACTACGGAGCAGCGGGAATTTGATTTGGCTGTTGTTTCTTTTGGCTGTGTTCTTGATAAATGGGTTAAATGTTCAGACACTGCATTCTAAGTACTGAAATGGATTAATCGTTGGCCAACGTGTCACAAAACGTACCATATTATTTAAGTGAGGTAACACAAGTGATAGGCAGTGACTGGGATCCAAAGCTAATTTCTGCATAGTATTATATCATATTTTCGATCGCCATGGAAAATGGTTCTTGAAATTATTCCACGTTGGGTAGTTGGCCTTTCGGTTACTGGCTTTCAAAAAAGAATTGCTTTTAAAAACTATCAAGACCTTTCTTTCTGCAAAATTACTTGTGCATTTCACAAAGTGCGCAACGCGTTTTACATCTAATACGATATTTTATGGACCACATATTTTTTCTGCCGGGAGGAAAAAGCATGTAATGTTAGTTTTCAGAAAGTTGCAGCACACTGGATGGACGATTCTGAAAACCAGAACGCAGTTTTTTTATAGTCCACTAGCATTATCAAATTATGTTAGAAAAAACACATTTCATTTTCAAGCATCAAGTATAAAATATGTGAAATTATACACAAATTTACTTTCTTATTATTTCTCTCCAAAAGATATCAAAAATAAAAGTGCCAAAACTCAATAAAAACGTTCCCACTAGGCATCTTGCGCTGGTCTGCTAGCATAAATAATGGAACTGGTTAAAACATATGTTGACTCAACGGCAAATACTTTGCTTTTTCGCAAAATACTTGAAGTTGTATTCCAGTTAAATCCACAATATCTTTATCAAAGGATGTTTCTAGTACCGAGAGCGCGTGAAGCATTTTCATTGAGTTTTTAGCAGCTTTTTGGAACTGTTTATACAAAGCAGTTAGAAAGCGAACAGAAAGTATGACTCACCTGGTTACCACTCACTGTCGAACAAACAGCATACATATGACAAATTACGGCGAATGACTTCTAAGGTATACTTTTTCATCGACCTTCTAAATCACCACTGCCTCGGCGTCAGTCATAATTTGAGGCCTGTATTGTATGTCAAGCTGTCTTCGTCAGTTCAAGTTGATGTATGGTTTGTATGGATAGGGTTTCCACGCCAAGATCAACTTCCGTGGCCTTCATCTAGCCGAACCGTTTGAACGTAAGGCTATGGACTACGGATGCTTGATGAGGAGAAATCTCTCTAACCGTAATCTAATCTACAGGCCAGTAACCACTACTCATTTGAGAAGCAGTCGTCATTTTCATGTTCAGGGAGGAAACATCAAACAATAGACGATTTGCATCTAGATACAAGAGCAAAAGCGGACAGACGGGAATGCCCGAACGTTTTGAAATATTTTGAATACGTCCTTGTTTTGTCAGAAGAACTCAAAATTGAGTAATAATCGATGGAGAAATACGTGATGCTTTCAGTGAGCTTCCAGAGTTTTCCGAGCCTACCACAAATTAAACGATTTTTTGTCTGCGTTACAAATGTTTCTGGCGAACGGATGTTCTCTGAAAAACAATAATGATTGCTCAAATGCTGCCTATGTTGTCAATTTTAGTTGTAATTTCCGTGAATTTTAAATTTTTATTCCTATTATGGGAGGTTAGAAGAAGTCCATTTCCCCGGCTCGATATACAGTGCTTTTAAAATGAATTTGGTTCAGTTTTGGGAAGGTCTTCAGTTAACACGCGTTGAGATCCATTTTCTATTCACCTTTAGCAGCTTATGACCCTTTTAATTCTCATTCTTTGAAGTTAAGTGGTTCGCTTGTTATTCTTTGTCCATAGAAATCAAGTTGATTATGCAACAAGAGTTCAAAATGGCTATTCTCTTCATCCATTCATTTTCTGTCCAATTCTGCGCAACGGTTTGGTGTTCTAAACGATGTTTGATTGACTTTCTGCTCTGTATGTTGCGATTCAGTTAGTCGAGGTCGCTCAAACCTTGAAGAATTATTCAAAGCAAATGAAGACAGAGGCCACATGCTTAATATTACCAGGCGCCAGGTGGTTAATTCAGGTCCGAATAATTTATACCTAGTACTTTATCAAATACTTCCCGTGTTAACCAAAAAAGATCCAGCGTACGCCCACTCTTTTTGGAACTCTAATTTAATAGGGATTGTAGTGCCCCTCGAATAAAATCCACACTCCATCTTAGCTTCTTAAAATGATTATCTGGCGATACTGCTAAATTAGATTTTCTGAAACCTATCGAATGCCTTTAGAGAGTCATTTATGCTTTGAGCTAAATTGTTTGTTAATTTCTGATGCGGGTAACGAATGCTATGGTCTTATCAGTTCACAAATATGCGTATCATATTAAGTCCATTTGCGCTTATCTTTCTTACCTGAAAAAATAAATGCCCTAGGTTCTCTCTAGAGCAATAAATGCTTTCTGAACTACCGATAAAAGTATTAATGTCCTCGATGTTTGACGAAGAAAAATCTGTTCCGACATTTTCAGCGACTTTTTAACGCATCAGTATTGTTTTTAGTCCTTAGATCTGAACAAAACTTCATTCGATGCAATGCACTTATGAAATGAATGGAGAAATATTAAGCATATTCCTCAAAAATGACGTTTCATATACTCAAAAGGCGGTATCTCGACATAAAACTACCTTCGTGTCCGCTGTCGATTTACATCTGAACCACCAACTGGCCAACAGTTCAGTTTGGTCAGAACCTTATCGATACCTTATAAGGAAAGAGCTATGCATTTTTTAAAAATCAGCATAAGCCTTTTCCATTCGTGCTGTGACAACATTATTCAGGTGGTGCCTCTGTAGAGTTTTGACAACTGTTTTAAGTTTTGTGCATTCGCTTAACTTGAATGATGGCCCGGCCATTTGTGAAAGCCTTTTTCCCTGTTTCAACACCTTTCGTACAATTGTCCCCGAAAGCGATATTTCTTTCGTTCTCGCACGGACGTGTCTTATTTTTCCTCGAGATTTTTTCGCCCGTATGTCTGATTTTTAGTGAACGTTAGGTCGCAGACGTTTGTGAAATGTGGAACATGTCAGCTGCAGGGTCGGTGAACGTTGCCATGCTCTTTTTTCGCGTCCCCCACTACACCTGCAAATGTGAGAGATGGGATAGTGTTTACGAAGTCGCCTTATTCTTGATCAAGTATTCTGTTTACCCTGATAATTCTCCCTTTAGCCGGTCGTGCCGCTTAAGAACCAAAGCAACTCAATATACTGTGCGGCTAACTGTCCCCTTGCAAACTACCTCTTCAACGAAACGCTAATGGATGCTTACGTGGATCAGGGCGATGAGAGATGTGATACGGCGCGGAGGATATGCCAGTCATGCATGTTACGGAGCTGTGGACTAAAGCATGTGGACTGGAATATGCATGACCTTTCTTCAAGAAAATATGGTAAGACGTGGCAGTGAAACAGGTTGGCTGATAGGCAACCATATAAAAGCTTTATAAAAATTATCTTCCTGAAGAAAATTTGCAGAGCATATTCGAGCGTTTCTCTCGCCGCAGAGTTGCGATACGATTTTTCTAAGGCATCTGGACAACGGAACTTTGTTGTCTCAGATTCTGAAAAATTATTCTGCTTGCTAGGCAGCATGTCTAGCGCAGTTGCAATATACATGGCGTACATGGGAAATTCCAACTTCAGCTAGAATGATTCAGCAGGTATACTCGAACAGGTTTATGCAATGCAGAACAGGGTCTACTTGTCCCATGATAGGATGTAAAATATTGCTGTTACTTTGGACTGTATAAGCTTGATGATGACTCAAGGGAGATCTTGTAGCAATACAAATCTGACACGTAATCGTTTTAATACCATGCCACTTTGGAAACTCATGAACGATGTTTTATTGATAATTACGACACCATATGTATAAAGTTTAGTTTAAACCATTCTACGCATACCAAGGTTTGCAAGTTTAAAGATTGAACACACCTGATCCTCCCCAGGGTAACATCCAAGCGTCTCTGCAAAAACGTCCTTTTGGAACTCATTACGGTATTTGTAAGCTGTCACTGTAATGGCGAATCTAGGAAAAACCACTTTTACCTTTATTTTTCACTACTTTGGGAAAGAAAAATCGTCATTATTGAAATAAACAGGACTTATTAGCAAAACATACCCTAGTCACTACGACGAAAAGAATAGTTAGAAAGAAACGGCCAACGGGACGATGGGTTTGTTTGTTAGTAAGTTGGCTTACCAGGAGCAATAGGTCGGAAATCATGTCGGGTTGGACAGGACGAATTCACAGAAAGTACACTTGAGTTAAAGCAGTAGACATTATCTTTGCTACTTCGACCGGCAAAATGACTGAATACTTTTGAACACTATACAACAGTATCGACCGAATAGAAATATAGCACATTAGTGGCAGACAAGGACACTCGGCGAAGACATCTTATGACAAGAATAACTTTTCCCTAGAATGGAAAAAGTGACAAATGAATAGGATGTAAGGGAGAGCTGAGACATCTAAAAACTGCCAGATCAAGGGCCGAAGATGCAATGGAAGCGTAAGCATCGAATGAAATGCGCTGTGTTAAAAAACTAATCAACACGAAAGGAGCCCACCAGACTAAGGATGAAATGACGACAAAGAACTCGAAAGAATGAAAGTTTATTGAGGGTACTTCCGAAGGACACAGGAGCGGCAGATAATTGCAAACCAACATAACATTGGACTTATTTTTCAATGTCACGTTGAAGATCGTTCATAAACTGCCATGCCAATTTATGATTTAAGCTCACCTTCGTAAGTTTGGTTATCATCGGCTTTAGTAGAAGGACAACAGTGCACTCAAAATCTACAAGATCGAGTAAAATGAGGTCGGTGGTATAAAGGGAAAAGTGACGAGGTAATGGGCCAACCCGTTAAAAGGACCCTTGAATATGGAAAATATCAGTGTTCCGTTATCAGATAGAATTCTAAAAGAAAATGATCAAAAAATAAAAATAAGATCCAGGGTAGAAAAACTCTCCTAAATGTCCTTTTAAAAAAAAGATGCGAGGGAAAATCCTAAAAGCAAACTAGTAATTACGGTCTGCACGCTTATGCGCAATGCAAACCTTTGATCTCGTAATTACAGCAGCTGGCCTATCTCATGAACTATTAACTGACATTTTGGCATATATCTTCGATTAGAACGGATTACCTAGGTAGAAGTGCAATATTGGTAACAGTGTGACGTGACCCCAAGATCTTTCAGCCACGCTGGGAGGCTGGCTTTCGAATGCATCTCGTTCCGGCCCCCTCAAAGGCCACATTCAACAAAACGACCACTTGAGTTTTGTATAGTCTGTCCACTGATTTTCGATGCGGAAGCCATTCAAAATACATTTTGCGGAAATCCTACTTAATAATAGTCCTTCTTATGTTGAGTTGGTAGCTAATCACATCGTCAAATCTTGTACTTGAGGGAACGATATTCCAGGGTGTTAAAAAGTGTCTTCAACCTCCGAATAATCTTGAACTACATCGGCGTTTGCACTTGTGTCTAAAGTGTCACAAACTACATGTGCAACACATTCGGCGCAGAAAGAATCATATAGTTCCCCACTCCATTGAGAAGATGCCATATAATGCTCATTACATGTTACAGTAGACGTGGACATTGTTGTATACATCGACAGCAACATGAATAGGCAGATGCGGTGATGAATTGTGCAATGGTTTACCGTACTAACAACACATGTATTAGCTAAAAGTCCAGCCACGCGTGTTTCGCCGATCTCATGCCGCTGCCTGATGCAGCTGCGAGGGGTTCGGCTCGTCGGTGGGTCCCCCAGCTTTCACCGTGTGTTTTCTGATATATGAACTCCAGTTTCAACTTGCCTTGTTTAATTTTCGAGGAAACTAATGCGCGAACCTGGAGAAACTCTTTCAAAACAGACATTTTCAGGCACAGTCAGCTCAAATATTCATATCAAACTTCGGACCATGCCTGAAAAGGTCTGTTTCGAAAGAGTTTCTCCAGGTTCGCGTATTGGTTTCCTCGAAAATTAAACAAGGCAAGTTGAAACTGGAGTTCATATATCAGAGAACACACGGTGAAAGCTGGGGGACACATTGACGAGACGAACCGCTCGCGACTGCGTCAGGCAACGGCATAGGATCGGCGAAACACGCGTGTCTAGGCCTTTAGCTAATACCTGTGTTGTTAGTACGGTAAATCATTGCACAATTCTATACTACTGACTGTCTGTTGGCGGTTTGTGAATATTAAGCGGTTATTCCGCAGTAGCTGATGGATTTCAGCTCAAATATTCATATCAAACTACGGACCGTGCCTGGTAAAGTCTTTTTTGAAAGAGTTGCTCCAAATTCGCGCACTAGTTTCCTCAGAAAATAAACGAGGCAAGATGCGGTGTTATTTGAATTAGTATATCATGGTTTTAAGAAACCGGAAGTTCCTTTTCTCCGATAATGAAGTTCGAAGTATACGGTGGTTACCAAATGAGTGCAAAAACAATATAGTTAAGCATAGTTTCTACAAAATATGTGTAAATTTTACAAGGAAAACGTATGCCATTAAAGTAATCCATTTCGTCGATTGTGGATTAGCATACAGTCAAGAATGAGCTCATCCAAGCGAAAATATCCCGGCGTGACTGAAATATGTTGAGATCATTCAGCAAAATGATCAACGCTTCAACACCACCTAAGCAATTGTTTTTAATCGAAAACTTTTCACGGATGTTTTGCCGGCAGTCTGTCGTTACAAGGGATTCGGCTCATCCCTGAATCCCACAGAGTGTCAACGTGTGTATACTGGGCACCGCGCATTGGTAGCTTATAATAGTACGTGGTTACCTTGCCTAAGATGGTGAATTTCGTATTCAGCTTATAGCATTTCATTCCGAAGTATTTATTCGAAGTTGCCGCAATAACAGTTTTCTAATCTGACTTCCGTATTTTTAAACTTGGAATGCAAGCTGCATATTTCCCTTCGATTGGTACGGAGTCGCATGAAATAGAAAGGCAGAAATTGTTGTGATTATACAGTCAGTAAGACCTCATAGGAAAAAGTGCCCCATGGCAGTTCAGGACAGAGTTAATTGTCGTTCAAAAAGCCAGTACGCTGGTGTAACGTTCGGGTGGAAGTTTTATTTTTGACACTGACCCGGCATATGACATGAATATTTTTTGGCATCGCGCAATCGAATAACCAAATGCACTCAATAGTGTAGTGTTTTTATGCCTGTAATTGCAAAGATTCGGAACCGACCATGGTGTGTTCTAGCTAGATGTGTAACGCGCCGGAGAGATTTCGTTCGGAGTCTTCTGTTTTCCCAAACATTTGTTTCACACAGAACACGGATCATGCTAGACACCGGATAATTACTCGTTTCTTCCAGTGGAATTTTATGCCCTTGGGCAATGCAAATAAATGCTCTCTGCAAACTCATTGTTGCGGGACGAATTATTCGGTGAAAAGGAACAACTCGAAACCAAACAATAACTTCGCACTATGTTTTACCCATTCTGTTTATGATATGTTTTGAGGAGAAATTGTGGAGACCGCGTCTTGGATAAAATAACCATGGAAATTATCTTGATAGCTTGCTCTAGCGCATTTTGGTTCACTGCATTTCGTGACTGCCAGACCTGATTTAAATGAAGCCGCGGACATACAGTTTCCGTGAATCATGATGTCTACCAGCTTCTACACACCACTGTAGTTGGAGCTACCCTCGGATACCAACATACCTGTCACCATAGGCCATATTTGCACGCGCATCGAAAATATCTGCGCATTTGCAACAACACCTTTACATGGGCATATAGGAATCCTTCCTTGGACTAGTTCAGTAAACAGAAGCAATTTTCGCAGTTGTTTTGTGTTTTGAACAACCTACCTTCTCCTTGAAGGCAAATACGACCTTACTGACCTAAAGAGATCCATTATCGTGAAAAAAGATTTTTAAATCAGTGTCTACAGCATAGCCTGAAATTGCCGGAAAATGAGTCGCAATTTCCAAAAATCAGTCGTATGTAAAGGTTACTTGAGCGACGTTTCGTTATTAATTAACAAGGACCACAATCCTTGCTTGCAGACTTCCGGTTAGGCACCCTTCCAACTGCCTAAAAATATCCCAGCTGGTTGAAATGTCGTAATTGAAATTGTTTGCATACTAGCTGAGGATTTCTAGCGCGTGTCAAGATTTATTTTGCGTCTTCTATAAATTCCCACCGTTAGATTTTGCGTCAAACTGTGCAAGCATATTTACTTTTGAAAGGCTTGTTACTATTCATTTATTTTAAAACGTAACAGTCAAACTAGGCCATTTTTGTTTTTTACGAGTGTTGCGGGTTTCCCCAAAAAAGAGCCATATAATGCCTTGTTAGCGAGCCTTCGTTATAAAACACTTATGGGTAAGGCGACATTGCCGGCGAAAACAAGGGAGATCGAAATGGCCAGTTTTGGCTTACAAGCCGTCATCAGCCAGCCCTACCCAATCCCGAGGTTTGCGGTACCTGGGGTAACCGACAAAACAACAAGACCGTGGCTCAGTGTAGCCAACAGGTCGTCGGGCTCAACCCCGGGTGTTACACACCTTGGGGTTAAACATAGCTGGGTGAGGACGGCTAATAAGCCCCAAATGGCAGTTCTGGTGTTAATTCTCTGTGTCGGTAGTGTCATTTGGCCAATATTACGCGCCGTAATGCGGTTGGTGGCAGAGCTCAAGAGAGAGAGCCGCAAGGGACAACGGGTCGAGCGAGTCGCGTAACGCGATCAGTAAGCGCCCCTCTACCATCAAACTCGTATATTACATTGAAGTAAGTCCACAGTACTCTAAGACAACTTGACAAATCGTGTACACATGAGATTACAGGAACAAACATGTTTCCGTCTCGAAAGACGGATAATTGGAAACCTGTAAGGACCTAAACACGAAGTTCGTTAAAAAATGTAAGAGCATCAGAGTAAATTCACGTAAAACGGTTATTGGAAAGGCGTTTTCCGCATTTTTCACAGAGAAGATGCTTAACGGCGTAAAACTACAGACGAACAGACAAGTTCTGCTTTCAGGAGTTCTGATCCGCACAAGTCACTGGAAAGGGACCATATCAAAAGCCAGACTGCCAGATAGTAAACAGTGTGGCCTTATGACCGCATAACACAGCTTTTTTAAAGCTTGTATAAAGAAAGCCTTTTAGTTGAGAGCAAAGTTTAGATGTCTGGCCAATATTTACTGGGCTTCTTCACACACCGTTTTTTATGAATACGGTGAGAAATTATATGTGTTATTCAGGCAATTATCACTTGAAGATGACGTGGTCTGTGATTATCCTCCATCAGAAGCACCGTGAATGACTCTTCGGGCTTGGAAAATAAACATAGGCCCCGCATGGTGCGACTTTGCGTTGCTCTGAATAGACCTGACGGGTGTTTTATGTGGTACGCAAAACTTCAATTAGATTTGGAATATTCCTTTAAAAAAAAGCCAACTTCTTAATCGCGGTTTTCGTCATGATAAAATTCAGTCGCATTTTGAGGGCGCCTCACAAACGTTGCATACCGCACCGAAGTAAGTAGCGTTTCGCTTCCGCAGAACGCCTCTTCGGTGTTTTGCGGGATTATGGTGAACCCCGTCCATCAACCATAGTGGGGTCCGTTAAGTAAAGACTATTATGTAGTCAGATGATCATGTTTTTTTGACAGGCATCGATTTTCCACCTCCGATTGTTTTAAATCGTCCTGTTACCAATTACCGTAGACCTTTGGTGTGAAGACATGACAAGAATGAATGTACGTTGCAAGCTTAGGCCATCTGGCTGGCCAAAGACGGTGACTGCTTCAGATTTGCAAGTCAAAAATGGAATTCCTGGATCAGTTTGATGAGGAATCCAGAGGGAATTCAGTTAGTTTATAGTTCCTTACCAGTTTTCGGTTAGGTGTAAGTTATTTTTAATCCAAACGACAACCTAAATAAAACTTTCACCCAGGTTCGGGTTGTTTCTGACGATGACTCGATTTTCCGTTACGCTAAATTATCTACGACGGAAAACGTCCTGTGCAGATTTCTTTGACACAATTGTATGTTTTTATCTAACTTGTTGTTGCCGATCGCGCGTTTTCCCGATTAAGAGCTTCTGAGATGGCATTCTTTGTTTTCTTACCTTGAAGGTTATACCGGAAACTGCTGCCAAATACAATGTTTTGCATCTACTCACTGTATTCAGTACTTCGGTACGAGCTGTTATCCAACCGAACGTGCGAAAAGAAATGGTGGTGTCTGTCTCCGAGGTAAGTTTTAAGCTTGATAACTTAGTGCACTCCATGTCCAAGAGGATACATCATACCAATACTAGTCGTACCAATCAACTAAGACGTCATTTAAAATACACTCTATGGTATGACGAAGGAAATATCACCCCCAACAGACCTATCAGATTCTGAACGCAGACGATCAGCATTTACTCGTAAATGATGGATTATAATCCCAAAACCTGAATCAAAACCAGCATTCTGAAAATTTCATGTACAATCTATACCATATACAACCCATGCAATCTTGTATAATGTATACAGTCATGTATAGGTTATTGAAGCGACAGTAAGTTATTTCGGAATCAGCGCAGAAAATGCAGGGTTAAAATCGCTTACATGATATTTTACTGCCCGAAGTGGAACGAAGGTTGTTTTCAGCTTAGACTTAAGAAATATCTTGAACCACCTCCTCTGGCTTCTCTCTGTCCGATTTTTTAACTTGTCGCGCAAGACAAAGTTAAAAACTGTGAAATATGACAGGTTTTTTAGTATGAATATAGGTTGATTCATGGAAATCATCCCGACACACATCTGTGAGATAGAACGTATCTACTCTCGAAAAAGACATTTTTAAAAACAGTGGAAATATGGGAGGTTTTGTGCTCTCCATAGGAAGCCGACCACATTTCCATGCATGTATTCCTTTTGTCCGTTCGAATAATCAAGTCATAAACATATGTTGACGGTAATGCCTCATCAGGCCACTACAATAACAATAAAAGCGAGCTCGTGAGCCATGGATAGGGTAAGTCACACGTCTCGTTCCTCGTATTCATTTGCGACTTATGCTCTGGTGTAGACATTGTCTACTCAACGGATGGAAATAATCTAATCTAACAGCAAGCTACTTGCTAAAACTAAAAAGATTGTGATAAGCCATTATCTTCTAAAACTTTTTAAACAAATGTTGTGTTACAAATATCAGCTGTCATGTAGTTCCTTTTTTGAATGTTATGCCTCATTAACTTACTTATTCCTCTCTGAAAACCGGAATGAAGAACTGAACTGAAAACATGTCTATAACCTCTGCTAACCAAGTCGGTTTTTGTCTTTTCTTAAACTGACTGTCGTTTTTCTGACAAAATGGCGCCAAAAGGAACAATCATTTAGGCAGCAATGAAGGGATGGCATCCACATATATCCCTCCATAGTTGTTTTCAACCTATTCTTTGTTTTTCTTAAACGGCCTACCTTAAGCTCCATCGTGACCAAAATAGTCATTTTTTATTAAAATACTTCACATAAAAACAAGTATGTACTTGCCATAGTTGTAGTCGTTTCTTCCTGTCCTTATGGGGTACATATCCATGGGAAATCTCCAAGTCTTTTTTAACCGCAGAGTAATTCTAAAGATGTTTTTTTGTCAGATGACAATGGCTGGCCCTACCAAACGACTTCTTATGATGTCTCCGTAAATTGACAGGGCCGGCAGCAAAGGTGGTTCTTAAAAGTCGCCACAATAGATGCCATTGGATCTATCACTGGTTGTATTATTGCCTAAGCTTTATATAGGGAACGTACAAATACCATGTAGAACCTTGAAAAACGCTTCGTATCATGTAAGTAGAAGGAAGGAGAAATGACGAGACCGATGATAAATGCAAGACGAATCAGGCGAATCCTCCTAAAACATCAGTACGGTGACCACGGGGTATACGCCCGAGCACGACTCTCCGACGTAATCAGAATGCCTTAGTTATGCTTGGCTTACAAGGTGCATGTTTTTATTTTAATGTACCACGCAGTATTTAAGAAGTCCAGTCCGGCAAACGTACGCCCTAGATTATTCATCATCAGGCCTGTAAAGTTATATAAGGGAGAGTAAAGTGGCAAAAGTTGAACAGCTAATAAAAGTCAGTATGGGGGAGAGGGCTGAGAGGCGTTTAGAAGTCAGGGGTCAGAGTCATGTTCTCCCAGGGGCTTAGGGAGGGGGAGGGCGTCTGGTAATTAGCTGTCCCTGTTTCATCGCTGTAATCGGACGTGACAAATGTGAATAGATATGCTGGGTTTGTCTATGCGAAAGGGGGCCCTAGCGCTTTATGCGAGCACAAGGTTGAGTTTACTAACCGTATGGCCACTGCCTCTGTCTTCATAACTATCCGCTAGGCAGGAACTTGGAATGTCTCGCCGGAATGCTTGGTTGACGTCTACCCGATGGTCGCAGTTAACCGAGTGAACTACGATTGTGCTAGAGATGGACTTTTACAGACCTTGATGTAGCCAGGCAGGATGGTGCTCCCACAGCTGCCTGAATAGGCGACTAGTTGTTCGACCAATATGACCTGCCCAACAGAAGTGAATAAAGACGCAGATGCAGATTTGCCTTTGTGGATAATGTTATTCTGCCTATACTACGCGTCGCTGTGTGGCTCCTGCGGGGCTGGAGAGAACCCTAAGGCACAACGGGACGAGTGAGTTCCGTAACACGATCGGTGGGAGCCCATCTACTATTGCGTATTCCCGATCGCAACCGACGGGACAACGAGCCCGTGACCCAGTAGTTAGAGGCGTTGGGCTTTTAACCAGCAGGTCGCGGGATCGAGCCCCGGGTGTCCCACATTTCGGGATTGGGTATGAGTGGCCGACGACAATTAATGAGTCAGAAATGACCATTCCAGTCTCCCTTGTCCTTGTCGATAATGTTATTCTACATTGAAAATGTTTGAAAGGACAGTCTATCCTCACCTTTAAGGCGAAGAAGCGGAGTGTTTGTGAAAACTAGTCTTATCTTAGGGGCTTGGTACATGCGCGCGACAGTAGCGCTAAAGCGACAATGTAGAATTTTGCTCGCCAGACTCCCTCGAAATTGCAGTGCGAGAATACTTCTTTCTTCTCAGCCGTCGACATTTCAGGTTTTGGAGGGCGTTCGTCCGTATACTTGTTGATAAAATTTTAAGAATAGCCATTTTTCAAGCGTATCTGGGGTGCACTCAGGATATCATCGCTGAATTCGAATAATGACAGGTATTACTTTATCATCTTGCTTCCTTCACTTGAAGTGGGGTTATATTAAAATGTTTGGACCCAGGTACCGTCAGAATTTCAGCAGTTCATCATAATTATTGCGCATGTATTTAGACCGTCGTCACCACTAACTAACGCTAACTTTCATCAGCAATAATCGTCAATAATTGCTAAATGGGATCCTCAGGGACTACCAATCTTCACCAGTTTACCTCGCATCCGCATACTAGCATTGAATATCGATCATTCTCTCAACCTCTATTCCAAAACTTTGGGAAATGGAGGCTGCCTCAGAACTGTTTGCTCATTATCCCGGAGTTTTCCTGTGGGAGTTATGCCAATGGAACGTCTTTTGGCAACTCTCATATCCTTGAACCTGTCTCGACCGTCACGAAATGTAAACTGATAGCCCCGGTCATTATCATGATCTTTGGTCTTTTCATACGCTGCAGCACTTCGACAGTTGATTCCGGTGCCAGTGTTTTAAAAGTCCGACCAACGTTTTTAAATACTCTGGGATGCGGTTTCGACAAAACCTCCAGAAATTTAACGTGTTATTCTTACGAAAAGTCGTATAATAATAAAATGACCTTCGAGATCACTCATCATTCTCATTTATGACTGGAGATTCTCCATTTTGCTTTAATCCATAAAACTGCACATGCCTCAAGTCATTATAAACCAGCCTTTTTGAATTTTTGGATAGCTTATAGCATATTTCTCTCAGTACAATTTTCCTCGGAAGCCTTCTTTGTCGGCATCGTTAGCTATGTTTGATAATGGAGACATCTATCCTGAAGAGATACTGTTGTCGAAACGCGGACGTTGTTCTAAAATCCAATGAATTAAGTTCTTTATCAGATGACTGGTATTGCGGTTTTTACAAGAAATACCGACCCGTAAGTTTTTCTAAGTCCCTGTTTAGAACGACCGACTTTCTTTTACTAGGACACTCCTTATTGGCATTTCATTAAATGAGCGCAGGCGTTCCAACTACTTATGCTGTTGCTTTCCATGCTTATCGATGTATAAACAGATAATGAAACTGCGATTCCCATCTAAATTACCATCGCCTGAAAATATACCATAGCTCATTGGCTGAGGGAAGTCCAAATGCAAGGAGCTGAACTCAAACAACTGACTGTACTTTCTCTAGTCTAGGATTTGGATGCGAATTACCGAAGCCAGTATGTTCGGTCTACATTTCCTCTCGCGGTTTGTGCAAATGTTTTAACTCCTTGCAACTCATTCGATGGTCTTCCGCCAGACCTCTGTTTTTTGACGCCCGACGAAATGTTTTGATCGCCTTCCGTCCTTTTACCGCTCCCACATGACCTTAGATATGCACAAGACCAGGTGGGATTAAAGTTCATCTATATATTTCGATTGCGAGCGGAGACTGCGCACTCGGGGCCCTGCCAGAACTTCTAATCTAAGGCCCTCGCAGGACGTGGCTTATCGGCTAGTAGTATTAGCAAAGATAAAGGCTAATGGAGACTTATTTTTCGTAATTCGTAAGACAAATTGGAGGGCGATTGGCCCAAGGTATCCAATGATCGATTGACCGAAAGTTTTTTGCCACTGGTTGAATGCTGAAAGTAAGCCAGATACTGCCAAATAATTGTGTGGTATTTTCCCGTAACATTTGATACATACTTAGAGTAGGTGGGCTATCTCATTAAATGTCAACCGAAATTCCCAAATGAGATTTCGTTTGGAAAAGATTAATCAAGTAGGGTCGCAAAACTAGTAAGCCTGCAACGTAACTCTATAATATTTCAGTTTTGTCAGGATGCCGCCTTGCGAATGGACTTACTTCCGGCTACATGCAAAAATTAAACTCTGTGAAAAGCGACTACTGATGTGGCATGAATTTTTTCATTGATTTTCGATGCCCATAAAAGTCCAGTGATAGTTCATGGAAACCATGCACAAAGTACTCATTCTGTTTCTCATTCGGTAGAGAATTAGGTCTTCTTTTAATTTTATACCCGAAGAAGGGACGTTAGTCCGTTTTCAAAAACATTTCCAACTCCCGAATAATTGTGAACCCAAACTGCCCTTACACTTGCATTCAGGGTTTCCAATCTACAAGTCGTATATTTTGTGCGCTCGGGAAACCACACATTTCTCTACGGAAATAAAGGGGACCATATGGGGTTGATAAAATTTAGCAGTGGATTTCAGCCATGTTGTTAACTTTACAAGCCACACTGGCAAATGCAGAGACATGATGACCATATCACGGTATTTAGAAGACCCACAATTAGAAACTTTTATAAAAACCGAATTATCTCCCTACATCGAGTGTAAAATTGAAAGAAGATGTACTTTTATACTGAAAGGACGAAAGAATGGATGTTTTTATGCATGATTTTCATGAAATATCATTGGACTTTTAGGGGTAGTGAAAATCAATGAGAAAAAGTTATGCTGCTTAAGTAGTCGTTTTTTACAGAGTGTGGTTTTTGAATGCAGCCGGAAAGAAGTTCATTCGAAAGCCGGCATCCTGAGCTAAGTGAAATATTATAGAATTATTTTGCAGACTGACTAGTTTTACAACCTAACTTAATCAATCTTTGCGAAACAAAAACGCATTTCGGAATTTCGGTTGACATTTCATGAGTTAGCCCACCTGCTGTAGCATCAAACTGGCGTTCATTTTCTCAACTTCCGTAGAGCAGGGCAAAATTGCAATGGGTTTGACTCGCCATATCTGTCTCTTAGGACCATCTCCTTCGAAATCATCGGTTATAATCTTCAGAAATTTGGCTTTTTTGGTCGGTAGATCCTAAATGCTAAACATTATCAGATGTATAAAGCAGAAGAGGCGTCCACCAGGAGAGGTTTAATGGGGGCCAGACATTTCAATTAGTCATTTCGCCCAACCATCTTCAGAGACTGGGCTGTCATGGGCCCTTTGTTTTGTCCGTAGCCCGCCAATGCCGCCTGTGTAGATGCATCCGACCCGCATTTCACCATGACCTGAGTTATCCCACCCCCGCCGACCGCTGAGATAACTGACGGCTCTAGTCGTTGCGCTCCCTGATAAAATATAGTCGGTCACTATCGAACCTTCCTATCCGACGCTGACCGTCCTTGTTTTGTCACGGCGCAAAGCGACCGGAGCCGTCAATTATCTCTGCGGCCAACGAGGGCGGGGTCGGTACAAGTCGCGGTAAAATGCGGGTCGGATTCAACCACACAGACGGAATTGGCGGACTACGCACAAAACAGAGCGCGCCATATAAGGAGAGCTGTGTTCATGACAGCGCAGTCTCTGAAGGTGGTTGGGCGAAATAATTACCTGGAACGTCTGCCTCCCCCCCTAAAACTCTCCTGATGGACGCCTCATCTTCGCTTTACATATCTGATAATGTTTAGCATTTAGGATCTACCGACGAAAAAGCCAAATTTCTGAACATTCCCCCTGAAACAATGCCTGATCTAACGCTTGTGGTCTGGCTTGAAAAAAATATGTTTAGTCTTGAGACGTATTGTGGAGTCACAATAAGCCTTACTAAACTTTAGCAACATAACCTACTCGTCTTAAAGGGGTGCTTTTGCGGATGAGAGAAACATCTTTTCACTTCGTTATATTATTCTACAAAGTGCATCCGACTTCTGACGGAAGGTGTTTGATGAGCGAACCACTTTACTTCGCACTCATAGGTTCAGTCAACCCATATAGCTAGAGAGGCATGAAATGACACGCTAGTAAACTTTCCAGCATACACCCTGTGGTTTGCGGCCTAAATTATGAATCGCACGGTCTTCACGAATATTCATGCAATTCTGTTAAAAGGAATGTCTTTTTCGAATTCGCCATAGCAGCGACTTTTCTTTGAGTTTTGCAAAACAGTTAAAAATGCTTGTTTGAACCACGAATTTTTAAGTTTGGAAAAATCGCTGCAAGGAATTTCCCACGTCCATAAACAACTAACGCGAAGTAAGCTAGACGTTAAAACAGGACCCTCAATCGTCAAGCGACCGCGACCATGGCAGACTACCATAGTCACGAGGGCTTTAAATCACTGATCATTACTTTCCTGCGTCGGGGTGTTTACAGGTGCGGCTAAATCCAACATACCTGGCTTTACAGCCTCTACTCCGCGCGGTACAGTCAAGGAAGAAATTAATGGTACCGCATCCTGTTATGTTGCCGTTAAAAATCGACATATGCTTTTTGTATCCTATACCCTTTGACAAATAAAACGGCCGATTAACTACTTGAAAGCACGACCAACAACTGCGGAAACCAACTACGCATCCACATTTAAAAAGGTTCCTGCATAAATCCCTTAGATGTAGCCGACTTGCATAACGTTTTCCATGCGCTCTAACTTCATGACAAGTAACCCCCACATTTGCCGTTTGTAGGATTATACCGAATATCGCTAAATTATTAAAAATGAGGTAGTTTAGCCCTTTTCTAGTATCCAAACATCCTGGTGGTCAAGCTTTCGGTAATTCGTCTGGAATGCAGCTGATATTAACGCCTCTCTTTTTGCTATTCGCATGCGCACGGTTTCTTTCGTCAACTATCGCAGAGTCCAGTAGGACGTGAATTCAACAAGGGAAATGTTAATTTGATAAACAGTCTATTACAGTATACACAATAAATTGTCCCAAAATTTGCAGTTCCTGTCTGTCAAGAAGTTCACTAGTGTCCCCTTTTGCGATTCAGAAATAATGTAATTGACGGCTTTCACCGAGGAAGAGACCAAGTCTTCATACATTCCGAATAAAATAAAACACCACGGTCCTCAAGCAAGCCCCCCACAGCAACGTAAAATATCGCTTCTCAGCATTCCAGCAAAAAAGACCTGTTTCACTGCTAATTACATTTTGAAAATCCTAATAGGAAAAAAATATAATTGCGCGAGAGTAAATTAATTACCGCGGTCACTTTTTTGGAGATATCAAGAACCCTCATCAATGTCCTGCTTCATTCTTTTGCCCCTAAGAAATTCAAAAACTTGACACGTTGGTTTTCCCTCCCTCTCTAGCATGAACTATTGCTTCTTCGACCGACTTCGGAGACTAACTCAAATATTAACATTCCGAAACAACATTTTAACACTCTCAAGTTACAGCTTGAGCTTATTTTTTGAACTCAGGCTTGTTTATTAATTAGGCGTTTTGATATATGCATATATTTATTAAAATTGACGCAACTTTTGCCCGAGAAGAATAGGAACAATGAGCTTCGAACGACAAAATAAGGCGACAAGTAACTCTTGCATAGTAAGCAGTATAATAGGCTAATGGTTATTACTATAGAAACATCTTGGCCTGCAAAGTATACTAGGAAGTTTTGAGACCGACTAAAACTAAAGGAACATGTTGACTAGGCAACGCTGGCTGTTTGTGAGAAATGGAATTTTGGGCATCTTCATCGAGCCGTGCAGTCAGCGCAGACTGACTAAAAAAAGTACATTGAGAAGAATGTAGATTTGCGCAGTACATTTCCTTAGCGACGTGCCAAGGCCCGAAATCTACTTGTGATTTCCTCTTGCGACAGAAAAGGACGTTGTCTAGGTCTTAAGAACTGCAGTGCGGTTAATTGCTATTACAGAAAATGTTAGTCATCTCATTGATAGTTGGTGCGCTCATTAACGTTTCGAACTTGTTTTCTCAGTCGTCCTAAATTTTTATGACGAATTAGCAATCATCTGAGCGCGTAAGCAGCACATTTGATTTTGGCCTACTTCCAAAGTACATTCAAATCTCCTACCAAAGAGTCGGAAATAAGTATTAGTTGTGTAACAGTGCGAAGCATTGTTGAAATATAAGCAGACCTTGAAGTTCCAAATCTGTATTTTTCCATTGCCTTTTGGTCTGGGCTGCGAGAATATAAATTTTAAATCTTACCTAGTGTTCAAAAACACGTTAGCAAATAGTTCTCAGGATGTATTTTACAGTGGCTGTGATATATGCTCAATATGACTCATATTGTTTTGATTTTCAAATATTCAACTTACAGGACAACATGAATACTTCGGTACCCAACGGGTACCGGTTACTTTTTTTCAGTCCAACGACTGCATCGACTGCCAGCTTAAAGACAAATCACAAACATTTGACGGAGAATAATCGTACCTGAGGACTCTTGATCTAATTAAACTAAATACGACCCTGTACAGTTAAATTTTAAAGTAACAAAAAGTTTGGAAACTGGCAAGTTTCGTTGAATCTTCATGGTTTTATCCAGCAGGCTTTTATTGCACTGAGGTCTCTGACTGAGAGCAGGCTTCATGGAAAGATTTGTTTATGAGTTGTTTTAATGGAAATTTGCATTTCCTAAACCAAATACGCTGCTAAAGTCTCCAGAGCGTAAGTACATCTCTGTAAATGCAGCGTGCTACACACGCTTGTTTGATTTTGCACGAATTTTTTATAAACGATTATTAATAAACTGTTGCACCTGAAGTGAATATCGAGAAACCTGTTCCAGTCGTGAGATAAAGAATTCTAAGCTTATCACTGTAATTTGTATAGGCGCCTAGGAAGTTCAGACTGCCTAATAAATAAATTAGGTAAAAGGTCGAAGAGCTCTCTCCATTTTATTCGTCGTTCCAATTTCCCAGACGCCCAACGTTCAATTATGCTATTCGAAGTCTCGAAGTCGTGTCAGCTGCAAGCCGACAAACTCAATTTTGCAAATGACATTCGTAGCACTTATACTTGAAGCAGACCGCATTTGGCCACACTATTAAACATAGAGTAGCTTGCTCCGTATAGCTGCATCGGAAATATATCTGGCGCACTGAATTCTCTGAGTTTGTGGAGCGATGCGACTGACCATAATAGACGTTGTCAGAAATTCGAACAATCCTTTGGGAGTTTTTCGCAGTGTTAATCAACAATGCACTTTTGCCCTTGACCGGAAGGAATTTCCTGCTGACGCAATATAATGACGAGTGTTTTTTGACTGTGCCTTTGAGAGAATGTATCCTGCTATTTCCGAAGTAAAGTTTTTTTGATTTCATTGAAACGTCGCCAGGAAATATTCTCACAGTCACTTTATGAGCTGTGGAGAAAGTGAGCAAATCCTTTCCTGTGAGAAAACTTTTAAACTTGTTGGTCCTCTACTACAAGCAAGTACCACATCTCATTGTCGATAGGAAGTCTTTAGGAGCATTAGACTGAATTAAATGAATCCCAACTTCAATACAATGCCTTCTTTTGGACGAAGAGTTAATACCCACTAATGCTGCGCTCATACTGCATTCTATGAAACAACTTTTATTGCCATTGTCTCAAGTATTGCCGTCTTATTGGTTGCAGACTCAATTGTTGTTGTTTCTTCAGATTTCCGTCATAAGCACTAGCTAATACCTCAACACCTTGTGCATAACTTTACGTTAGGAAGTGCGGATTCCTTCAAAACCCTTAATTTTTTCCACTTACGTCTTTTCTGTTAAACAAGTAACTGGAGTTTTCCGGTAAGTACAAAAAAACGATCAAACCCATTTGACGAAATGCTGAAGTTACACAAAAATTCCCACACAATAAATACTAATGACACGTGTGGCAGCTGTCACACAGCCGAGATTTTGATGCCGGATCGTTTTGGAAAGATAGTCCCTATACATTTCGGTCCACCAATGGAAAATTCGGCAACCGCGATAGAATTCGAACCCACGATAGACTTCTCCCTGCTGTCATGTTTTGAATTTTACCGAGGTCGCCGAGTTTACGACAGTCGGGTCAAACGAATTATTCCGAATCTGTCAGAACAGCCATTTATATTGCCAGTAATTAGTTCAATGGCAAGAACAACAACATTTAAAAAGAAGTCCTTGTCTCTTGATTTTGCCTCAAGCACTTGTTTACTTCTCAAATCGTGAGTCAACACTGAGCATAATATTTGCACTTATAGCATCATTTCGCACTTGACATTAATAGCCATCTTCCCTACCGTTTTAGAGACTAATCGGTGCCATTAAATGCCAGCTTTCTGCGTTACTAGCGAGGAATTGCCGCAGTCTTCTGAAATATTTTCCTTGCGCCAGAAACCAAGAACGCAAGTGTGTGCATGCGCCTGCCTGCCAGAAAAGACCAAGCCATGCGCGAAATTCACCGAAGACTTCGCGGTTTAAGACTCACCGTTTGCTTGTGCATGTCTTAAGTGCATATTGTAATTAGCTTCAAAAACACTTCGGCTTGTATGCAGGACCTCATGAATTATGGACCACACGTCGGATAAAAACAGAGAAATCTCCTTCAAACGGGGTCGTCGATAGAGTTTCGTCTTGTCTAGGGTTTGCAGTTTAACATTCCATAAAAATGCTACAGTCCAAGGGGCATTTTTGCAATCTTTACGCAGAATCATCCCTCTGTATCACTGTTACCAGATTTCAGGTGTTTTGACCAGCCAGTCGAAAACGCAACGCTTGAAATAGCCCCTAGTGAACCTCAGATGCAAACAAATATGCCTACGATAGGGTATAGCTTGAAGGGCATATTTACGAACCTGGTCGTTGGTTCTTCTCGAGAACCAAAAGTAAGCATTTGTCAGCGCTGTACAGGAAAAGCCTACTGGAAACAGTTGCATAAACGAGGAGAGATCTTACTGATCAGCGTGGGCACGCAAGCGAACAGATTTCCGTTTGCCCAACAGTAAGTTATTAAATGGCGGAAATGAAGCCAACGCATGACTTAGTATAGAACAAGCGCTGTCTGGTTTTAAAATATTACCTGCTCGAAGCTATGCATTCATGGATTTCTCTCTTTCACCGACCACTTACTAAGTAGTATATTTTGGCATAAGATGTCTCGTTAAATATTCCAGCCAGTCAAAACACTTTAAAGAATTTTCAGCACTGTATAGTGAAAGCTCTCACGGTGACCAAGTTTTTTTTATTTGTTAGAAACTTGAGCAATATGGTTCCGAAAAAGCACTGCTTGAAACACGGGCTTACAGGAGATGGTTTACATCTTCCTGCTCTGTAGTTTTCTAGCTATATATCTACTGAACAGTAGATATTGCCTGTTTGAAACTCATTAAACAGCGAATGGCTAAGACGACGTTTGGGACTGTAATGCCTAAAAATGTGGCAAAAGTTCTCAAAGGTGTACAAACGAAGACAGAAAAAGCGAACTTTTTGCATCGATTGGCTGTTAGTAACCTAATCCCGCTCCGGGAAACCGGAAACTAGAATCCCCGTCTTCTCCTTTTTTGACGAGCAAGGCTCTAAGGACATGAATGCCAGTCCGCGAACTCACGCTCGATCAGTTCCAAGCGGAAGGAAAAGCCGTAAAGAGACAAAATCCGGATTGTCTCAGTTGACTGCCGGGTGGGAAGTGCATGTTCCTGTTCGGAAACAAAGTGACGCAGGGGTCATCTTTACGAATCTAACCGGTTTATGAGACCGATTGCGATTGCATAGTTTTAGTTGGCCCTAAAGCTAGCACAATAGTCGCTATAATTCGATTACCGTTATTTATTATCCTATTCTATCGTGCAGACCGGATAAGGCAGCAAACACATAAATGCATCTCTCGTGGATTTGCAAACTTCTGATTGCAGAAAATAGAATTTAGGCTCGTAGACCAAACGGTAGAGCTTATGGTTCATCGATCAGCTGAACAATAGTCTGAACCGCAGATTTTCCCTATATGGTGTTGGACATTGCTATCTGACTCATGGACGTGGGAGGATTTGTTCACAAAATCATAGGCAAAGACGATCAAATTTTTAGTACCTGTTTCCACCTTTATGAAGACAAACAAATATTTCAAAAAATCAGTTTTTTTAACCTTGACGTGTTTTCCATTATACAAATTTCGACTCTAAGGATTTTGTGAAATACATAGACAACTGGGAAACTAATGAACCAGGTCCCCACCCAAGAAGTCGGTTTTGGTTTTGGCTCACTTACTTTTCTGGAGTTGCACCTGCGAATCAGGACGTTTGTCTTTGACTGACTCAATTCCACCTAAATTCCCAAAATTGTAAAACTCTTTTACTGCTAAGCGCTGGAACGCAAACCGGCGTCGTAAGGAGAAAAAAGCCTGTCAATGCCTGAAATAGGTAATGCAAATTTTGCTCTTTTTACTTGTCACCCAGGCAAGACGCTCAAGTTTACGCTTACTCCAGACTTCAACTTTGGACAGGAAGTCTACGAGTGTCACGTCAAGAGAATCGGGACGACTGACAGACTGCTCTTAAATATGAGCATCGTATTTTCTACCCGGAATCAATTGCATCGCCCCGCGACTGACGGAAACCGATTACGTGCCTACGTTTTTGTTCACCCAGTCTCCCTTGCTGCCGGCGTAGCTACTGGCACACTGGACAATCTATTTTCCCTCCACTACAAAGGGAATACTCCAACAATCACGGATGCCGTCCTTGTGAAGTCACGTCTGAAGAATGCCTCCTCGACTAGCAAGACTGAACCGTTAGCTTCGAGGGGCGAGGTGGATGAAGAAGACAAGACCCCAAAATATGCCTATCGCTTATTTGACCTCGCAAAGCGCAGTCCGGCAGTGCATGAGAATGTCAAGGTTTTCAGACACCGTGAGCAGAAGTACGTAGTGGTTCAGGCAAGTAAACAACGAACGCAAGTTTGCCTTTACAAACCAAATTAAGGAGAAAAAGGACGATAAATATCGAAGCATAGAAGGAGGGCTTCACCTAGTGGAAGAGGTCTATGGCAATAACACTCTGACTGTTTTCGCCCTTTGTTATTTTCGAAGAGTAAGCAGGAATAACTCATGATAACCCACAGTGTTCTTCGACTTTTGGAATGAAAAGAATTCTCAGGCTTTATCGTCTTCTCTACTTATAAGACAAATTATAGCTTTAACGGTAAATTAACGTTGACCCTCGCTTCGTGCCCACGATTGACTTGGGATGTAGTCATTTCCACCAACCTCAGTGAAATCTCTCAATTAGTCTCATTTTGTCCGTTAGAAGAAGCTAAGACTGTTTATCTGATTACAGATGTTTGTGAACTTTGCATGCTTCCGACGAATTACGCGTTGGAATATGGTCGAACACAGATCAATAGGCATTTTGAAAGAGCATTTAGACCACTCCGTAAAACGTTTCCCTAAGTAGTTTTCACACTTTATCTATGCTATAAGGCTGCAGTGCATACTGGTGCATTTTGGCGTCCTCCCGACTGACTTTGAGTTTGAAAGCGAATTTTGTGCGAAAATGACTCTCGGCCGATCGGCAACATTTTGGATGTTGTGGGTATCGACTCCGTTTCTACGAATGCAGGAAGTGACTTATCAGAAAGCCTCGGAGAATTTCGAGTTTAATTTCCAAATCTGTTGTTCGGGGCTCGTGAAGCGTAACACTCTATAAAACAGTATGTATTTAGATTCTTGTCCTTCATTTGGGGAGTTACGACTAACGTAGTTTCCACACATTGAAAGAAGAATAAAAAAATTGGCGGAAAGCACCACAATCGCGACTCACCCGAGGAACGTCACCGACCTCTGAAACTGCTTACAAGAAGGGACAGTTAGCTTGTCAGACAGAGTCTACCGAGAAATATACGTGATAACCATGGTTTATTATAACTCTTTCATTATTTAGTTTAAACTCTAGTTTTAATCTACTGTAAAGTACGTTGTATATGGAAATAATGCTAGGCAATCGAAAAGACACTTTCACCTACGGAATCACTGTTTGAGTAAAGTCAATTTCGTTTTTGTTCAATGCAGAACGTTGAACCCTTTCGATATAACAGCGAAAACTGGAGAACAATGGGCTGTTCTGTCAACATATCAGACGGGCTGAACAACGTCGAGAATAACAGGGAGAGTGACGGCATTCCTGTTGATTTGGAGATGCTTCGAAAGTCTCCTGTCGATGGAAGTTTTCGTTATGACATACGGGTGAATGAGAAGTCACGTGAACTCCGAGTGTCAGGAAGAGGTCAGTGTTTTTTGTTATCTGACTCTTCCTAATTTTAACTTACTTATCAGATTCCGCCGTTTTGCGATGCATTGGGCGACTTTGTGTGCATACGGTAGCGTCTAACGGTCGGTCCGAATTTATGTTCTAGATCTCAGGTGTACCCATACTACACTGGTTATTTTCCAGTTTGTTTCATGAATGGCCGAGCCAATGTCAAATAAACAGTTGTTTCTTTCATATTGACCCAACTGTGAAAAACTCGGCGCCTTGGTGGGATTCGAACCCACGCAGTAAGGAGAAGGCTTTAGTACAGCCAAAGCTCTAACCACTTGAGCTACGAGGCCCCGCCGGACGACTCGAGTTTAATCACATTTGGGTCAAGTTTAGCGCGCAGCCTTCTGCAACGTCTGGAATCCACCAAATCTGACACAGTAAGTTAAATGCCCTAGCAGGATTTCCTAAGTAATTCACCTAGAATTCACCGGAGGACTGCCAGGCCTATGAATTGTTTTTTTGTCGAAATCCTATTTCTGTGGAACGTTCCATTATATGAGTTGCGACTGAAGCATTTTACTTACATTAAAAACATCATTGATTACGCATGACTCCTGGACAACGATATACCATAAAAACGTGATTTATTATCAGCGAATGTTATGTACTTTGGGTAAATCACTAAAAAATATGTGAAGTAAAAAATAAGGGAACTTGTCTAGAAGAATAGACTTGAGGCAAGTCTAGACTTAAATTTTAGAACGCACACCTAATTTTGAGTGTCATGCAGAGATTAGTATTTAAATGGAGGAATGCTGCAACCTTTCCGTCTAGCATTTTATTATACCAGAGCTGGGAAAATTCAACGGAAAGATTTAAAAGGCTAGTTAGGAAGCACAGATTTGCTTTTAACCAACTCCTTGAATGGAACATCTATATGAAGAAGGAGTACAAAGTATATGTCAGGGAAGGGGAACTGATAATAGTTCCTTATTCACACAAGTGGGATATGAAAGTATGGGGAGGAGTAATAAGAAGCAGCAAGACGAGGCAATTGGGGGGACAGGAAGAGCAGTGTCGGGGGCAGGAGGTAGGCATGCGTTTAACTAACCGTTGTTCATGGTAGCTGCAAAACGTGGTTCTATACGCACAAGACCGGTTTGCGTACCCTGATGGCAGTCGCTTCTGCTGCCGCTGCTAACAGACGCTGGTTCAATGGCTTTGCATGTTCAGGTGGGGCCTTGAAAGTCGCGCAGAAGGCTTTGTTGGGGTCTACATGATGCTCGGTATTAATAGTGACGCTACGTATGCTTCTAATTCTGCCCATTTTTAGCCATGTCGGGAGAGGTTCTAGTATGCTTTTGGGCAGGCGCGACCAATAAAACTCGCTCCACGGGAGCACGTAAGGAACTAAATACGCATGGAGGCGACCTCAGCTGAAAACCCATTCGTACCTTTTCTTTTTTGACATTAGTGTGGTGGGTTTTTCTGGATTCTCGGCAACATGCCTTGCAATAAATCAGTCAGACTACCTGTTCTCGCGAGGCGGGTTCAGAATCTTTCCAAGTTTCCCGACGATGCTGTCTGTCAAGTAGATTTTTTGCCTCTTGAACCAAACAATGGATCAGATTGGGTTTTTGTCGAAGGTGTACAAAGCAGCTGAAGTTATTATTTTGTCAAGATCAAGTTTTCCTGCGACAGACGCTCATTCGAACGCCTTTATCACGCCTTCTGCTTTTAGCAAAATCAACAAAGATTGCTTCTAATTTGGCTGGATTTGTGGAAATAATTGAAATTTAACGCATTATGGATGCGGCCTGTGTATTTATTCAGGGACTTCATTCTGGTGGAGCGTGCAGGTAATAGGCAAAACTTCGGAGGATGTAACGTTTAGAGGCTCAGGCAAATTGTTGGTCATGTGAACATTAAGTTTTTGTCCAGCCGTGAAACCGTTTTGATACTCGAAAACACAATAGTGGATATAAGAACGATGCCAAACAGGCATGACTAAAGTCGCAGATTTTTGCTTGTCACATGCCTTCGTGAACTGATTATGAGCAGTATGTAGGATATTTAATCTCTACATTTTGAAGTTCTGTTGGTTTTACTCGGAAATATATTTGAAAACGTTAACGTTGGGAATTGTAAAATCTACGAGCTAAATCTAAGCTCATGTACCACACGTCCGCTGTAAAGCCATAGAAAATGAAACAAGCTACATTTTCTACTTCTTCGTTCTATGTCTATAGTAGGCCGTCTTGTTCTCATGTTGTTAGATTTCATGATTCTTGGTTTGAATTAATTACTATTTACTATGTGCCATTTGCAATATTCGATTAGGTACTGACACCGTTTAACACTTATCTAGACCCAGCATTATATCACTGAACTGACAATAAGCTATATGATAATGCGACTTGAACGTCAAACAACTGACCGAACGCTGTGCAAAAATCATGACAATACTCAGTCAGAAGGTTTACTTCCTGCTGTTTTGCATTTTTTGCCATTATGTTTGCTACTGAACCAAAGTTTCCGTCCAATAATTTTAATCGATTGAAAGTGTAAAAGTTCAAGTTGCCCTAAAAGTGAGAAGGTTCCCTTCTTTGTAATGTTCGTACACCTGGTTTTAGCTCTGCGGTTCATATACATTTTATATCTTCTAGGACATATTATAACTCCATGTGTTGTGGCCGTTCACCAGTCAACCTCATTTTATAACTTTATTTGCAAAACAGCCTTAACAGGTTTGCTGGCTTGCCAATGTGGAGTTGGTAAGATGCAAAACCAGATGGAACTCCAACTAGAAAATTTCGACTGCGCGATAAGTTAATACTTAAAGTCAAGGTGATATGCTACAAGAATTGAGCATTACATTTGACATGATTAAACGAAGATACATATTTCCCGTATTTTCACAGGAAGTTAGTGGAAAAATCACTCTCTCTACTCCCAACCTATTAATCAGTGAAACGTAACCGTTCTCAAAAAACGAACATGTATCAAAGAGACTCATCCGTGTTTTTAGCCCAAAGCACTAACCCATAGGATTGGTGTCGTGTAACATAAAAGCGCAGAAAAGGCTTGTGCTTTAGAACTGTCTACGGCTGTATTTCGGTAGCTTATGTGGCCATGCATAGCGCCCAATATCATAGCCCAATTGCATAGCGCTCCTCAATATCGCATCAAGTTATCAAATTCTTCCTTAAAACTTCCATTCATTTTAGAATTTTGAGCATAAAAATTTCAAATATTCTTATGTCCACGTTTTCAACTTCATGTACCTTGCGAAAGGACACCTAATGGACCGTAGGGTTGCTACCGCAGAATATATAGTGCAATTGAGTGAAAAATGCCTCACTGTTTTTGGCCTCATAGTATAACTTTATGAAATGTATGAACCGTGAGTGCACAGGTTTATAATAAACTTGAAATACATCCTAAAACACTATTCAGCGCTGTGACATTCTCTGAGATCATATCATTTTCAGCAAGTCAAAGTCTTTAAGTGGAATAAAACTCTGAAGTGTAAAGTCAGGGTATGAACAAGTGCCGTGCACCCGTATCATTACAGTTAACGAATTGAAAAGCATCGTCCCGCGTTATAAGGATAACTAGATCACGACGCAGGCTTGGGCTTCATAATATAAATCCGCACCCTGTCCAGAACCTCTTTTAAAAAATACAATTTTGTCAACTCTTGGAATATTATGATGACGTAAAAGCAAGGTTTCCTCCCATTGCATTTAGCAGAAAACATCACGGCTTTGACACCGACCTACAGTGGCAATTATCGCAAAAAGGGCACAGGTTCAACAGTGCCGGTGGGCGGATGTAAAATCATATGCCAGTTAGATAGTAAAATTATCAGTAGCCCGAAAAAGAAGACAATGCATCAAGAACCGGGAAAACTATTGTCTGAAATCATGAAAACGTTTTAGAATTTTAGCGTTTTGGGAGACAGTCCACTTTTCATTGTAAGGATTCGATGAACACATTTGTATATTTAAAGGCTGCTAAAGTTTTCAGAATGAAATCTATCTGAAAAACATACCTAAAATGCCTGCTGGGAGTCTTAACTTCATGTGGACCACGGTTATCTCCGATCATATAATTTAATGCACTGTTTGCTTCTTGGTACTTTTCTTTCGAATGTATAAAAAAGCGTTTAGTGCACCATTAACTGCAGAATTTTCGTCGTCATATAATATGTGTCTGTGAGGCACAAACGCGCCAGAGCCTTTGGATGAAACTGAGTTTGACTAAGAGAATAATAGCCGTGTCTCAGACTCCTACTCGAAGAACTACAGTAAGTGATCGATCTCATGAAATGTTTGACGAAATTCTTAAATATGCTCCCGATTGGAAAGGATTACTTAGGTGGGGTTGTAATACCGAATGCTGTGCGGCAAAATCCTATAATATTTTAGACTCAGCAGGATGTTGCCTTTTGAATGTACTTCCTTTTGACCTTCTGTAAAAACCTCGTTCGATAAAAAATGACTACTTAATTAGCATGCATTTTTCGCATTGATTTTCGATGACCCTATACAGTTAAGTGCATTTTATAGAATAAAAGCATAAAAGCATGTTTTTTACTCATTCGGTGGCACATCACGTTTCATTCACACTTTATACTCAAAGAAAGGGTATACTAAGGTTTTGAAAGAGTTTTCCAACTCCCGAATAAATTGGAGCCAGATCAGCCGGTTTATTAGTGTTTGGCGATTTCAGTCTACCTTACGCGTAAGCAAAATCATATATTCCTCTCTGTCTTTGAGAAGAAATCAAGCAAAGTTCATGAAATTTTCCAATGTTGTATACTCCATGAGGAGCACTAATAAACGGACAGGTGCGATGCTGTATGGACGGATATTGCGTGGTCTTAAAAAGTCTCACAATTAGCGACACGTTATAAAATCAAAAGGCACTCTTTCTTTGACTATAAAATGTCAAGAAGACGTGATTTGCTACCAAACAAGTACGCTAATGCATGTTTTCTATTAAACACATTTGACTCTACAGAGACATCGAAAATCATTGTGAAAAATGCACACTAATTAAATAGTGATTTTCACCGAGTGCAGTTTCTACAGGACGTCAAAAAGTAGTACATTCGAAGAGTAGCATCATGATAAATCCAGATTATGCCGCACAATAATAAATATGACAACCCCACCTAAGTAATCCTTCTTAATAAAATGCACGTTTCAGAATTTTGGCAAACATCTCAGGAGATCGCTCTCTTACTGTATTTACGCAACAAACCTATATTATTTAAACTTATATCACTTGGGATGCCTGTCTTCGAGTACTAACAAATGTATATATATATATGGATACAGTGTATGAAAACATCTATAAGAGACCGGTAAAAAGAAATATCTCATTTTCTGGTTTCACCTCTTTATCAAACACCTTGTCACTGAACTCAACGCTTTCTACCTGCCTCTGCATTGATTCTATTCTAAAATCAAATCCGGTTACAACTTTTTGTTGTAACGAGCAGTCAATATTGACAGCGCTATCTTTGGCCTAAATTCAGTCAGTAACTATTGATAGCTCTTCACACTGTACCGGCATATTACGAACTTACTTTTGTTTAGTTATGAAGCATTTTTAATTCAAACACTCCCTTTTTACCCCGGATCTTCTAACCGAAAAGGAAATGTACAAGTTCATTTAACATTATATCATTTCAGCAGCAATGTAACTGTATCATTCTTTTTACTCAGAAACTTTGTTGTTAGGGTCTAATCTTCCTTGCTTTATGAACTATTCTTGGCTCGGACATTTAACAGCTAGCTTTCTAGAGATAAAAGCAAAGTCCTGAATATTTCAGTGACTCATATGAGCCCAGTAATTTGCCGACCGAGTTTTTTGGACCTTTCCAAAATTTGGCCTACTACTGAAAGTTCTCGAAATAGCCTTATGGGATATCCTTCGCTGTGAGATGTTCACAATTTTTTTTCTAGGCACAAATTCCTTCGAGTATTTTGTTTGCAGCTTCGTGTACCTTCTGGTTTCTCCCACTCACCAGCTTGGTTTTATCAGTAAACGGGGGGCTGGGGGACAAAAGGTGGGCTAGTATCAAAATTACATCGCTGGAAACCACATTCACGGCGCGCAACTGTAGGTCCTTTGTAAGTGCCACTATTAGGGTCACTGGGCCTCTATGACGGATCGCACGCGTTTGCCCTGGACTTACGCGGGGGCTAAAGTAGGGTCAAGCACGTGTTATTGGGCTGCGCACACAAAGCGGATGCCATAAAGGGGTGTGGCGACGCGCCCAGGCGCGGATTCACGCTGCACCAGTCACCTACATGCGATCCCATCTTAGATCTTCTTGTCCCTGTCATGACGCCAAACTCCGGCGGGTGAGGCTGAATGGAACGCGGTAGATGCAGCGCAAGTCTACTACCACTATGAAATAACTCACGCACAAGTCACCGTGACTGTGCCCACCACGCTGTGGGGGATCACACGGTCGTTCCCAACGATCGAACTGTCATTAGGCTCAGTCTGAAATTGCATGACCTTGCTTTAGGTGATTGCTGCATTTTCCCTCTCCACCACTGTAAGTGATTTTGAACTTCTATTTATTCATTAAGGCGTTCATCACGATCTCATGACTGCCATGTTTTGTCATCACCCAAGAGCGCCTTTACACGGAAATGTCCACACCTTACTTCGAGACAAAGAGCACAGTTTACGGCTGCAGGTGGTGGACATTCAGCGTCATCGTTTTGCTGGTCAAGAGGAAACCTCTTGGGCAGATGCAGATGCTACAAGAATCCATGCAGCTCTAACCGGTGAGTATGCAGTGCTGTGAATTTTTTCCTGGCTTGGTGTTAGTCGTCTTTGCAATTGGTTTTACCAAATTCTGCCATCATTTAGCCTTGTCTCTGAGCAGAAGATAATTGGCCACATAGGGGCTGATTGTCAGAAGTCAGCATCTGAATACCTGTGTAGCCATGATGTTTCAAAAGATATTATAAGTATAATGCTAATTGATGTTTTGTGCACCATTCAGAATAGGATTTTTTAAATTCAGACCAAGGTTTTTTTGCAGGCCTTAATTTAGCTGAACAGACATCGTAAGGGCATTTAAGTCAAAGTGTTAAGCTTCGGTGCATTTGAAACTTTGGCGGGTTGAATATCTCGAGAGCGCCACTTGAATTAATAGCAAGGGAAATATTCACGTTTCGCCTTTAGAAGTGCCATAATTCTCAAATGGCAATATAATTATAGCTAGTCATTTCACCGAAACGGATGTATTGCACAGACCAACGTCTAACAACATTTTCCTTGAAACTGGACGGAAAATATAAGATTGCATTGTCTTAAACTGTTAGTGATCACGACACTTGTGTGATCTGGGTTGTGCACGGGAATAATGACCTTCGTATTACAGGTTATTAGAGTTAGGCTTAGTGTTGACGTTAAAGTTTGAACTTAGGTTCAAGCTAGGACACAGGAATTAAAAACCTGGAGTTTTGCGCGAGGTTACCCTGTACTACTGAGTGCCCATATATTGCTGTCCGAGCGACTTATGCCGGCAAATTAAAAGGACTTCCGTATTAACTTCCACAGCAAAAACGTTAGACAAGCTAAGAAATGTTAGTTCTGAAGTGAATTCGTGACTTTGGACGAGTAGTTCATGCGCCTGGTTAAGCTGGAGTCAAATAAAATTAGTACGACAAATAGGCAAGCAAACGCGAACAGCGTGTGTTTGTGCGACGTGCCATTCAGACGTGAAGCCTATGTTATTAGAAGTGGATTTGCGGAAAATACACAGGAGAAGACAATGATTGTTTCTAGTTCATCGATCGTCGTCGGCCATTCACGTTTACTAGAGAGTGTTCTTGGTCGGCATCTACGACAAATTAGGATGACTCCTCTTCCTGCATGCAATAGCATTAAGACAGATTTTAATTTCAAGAGGGAGGCGTAAAAATGTTATATTACATCTGACTCCAGCAACGCTTCGATGAATGTGTGAAAATCCAAGTATAAAGCGTATCTCCGAGGCGGTACACTAGATGTGAACTCCTGCGAAGTTCAGTTCATAGCGGTGCGTGGAAAGGCCAGATCTTGGGTTATTAAGTCATCCATTACTTCCGATGTGTTTTTGCAGATATGATTGCAGTTTACGATGTCAAATTCCCGATACAGCAGTCGACTCAATCAAATAAGAAAACTTGAGAAGCTTTGCTACCCATTTTACTTATGAAAGTCTTGTCTAAATGCATGCGCGAGCGCGGTTCTTCTTGCTTTAAAAGGGTACATCTCTAAACGTTTAAGTGACTCTTCCCTTCTAAAAGGATAGCAACCTAGTTGTGGCGGTCTCAAAGCAGTGCCGACAGTTCAGAGTCTGTGCATTGGCTTAAACTGGCTTTTTATGCTTGGAAAAAGTAAAGTGCGGCGGACGCATATGAAATAAGCTGAGGGAGCCACTCGAATGCACCATGACCATTCTGTCTTCCTCCTGCGGATAGATGTCGTCTACTTGCTTAGATGAAGCGTCCCAAAAGGAAGCATTCTAAGAATTGGTAATGCACGTTTAATACATATATTTGAAAGCGGAACGAAAGGTTTGGTAAAATATACGGGATTTTTGTCGCTTTCTATTGCTACCCTCCAGTCCACCTGTGGTGATACCTAAATTTTTATGCTTTTTATGGAAGGTGAATTATGGAAGGGAGGTTAAGAGGATGGTTTCTAGCAGTAAAGATTAACAGATTCGACCAAAAGAAAGGCAGTCTATTTTGATAAAGCTCTTTAACTACTTCACTGCTTTTTCGACTGTACGTAACCTCTTGCTGTCTGAGAGACGAACTTGTTTTATTTAACCTCTGCCATGAGGCAGACACAAAATAAGATATTAGATGTATATTTTTAAATAAACTTTACAAATGCAAAAGGCTTCTATCACAAAAAGTTGGGTGAAGTTTTGAAATCTGGCAAAAAATATTTTGGCGTTCTGTGGGGACCGTGAATACATGCTTCACACTTTGATATCGAAGATCTACTATAAACAATTTTAGCTTAATCAAGCAACTGCCTCATTTGAAGCCTTGTGCATTTTTTACTCTACTAAAAATTTGAACGGAAAGCAAAGTTTGTTCATAGACTGTACGGAATCAGTTATATTTGCTAATCTGTTTTGTCCTCCTTGCAATGAGTGAATTAAGAATTGAGGTCTTCCAAATTGCAAACCAAATATTCAAAATGACGCACTTTAGATCGCTCTGTTAAAAGGAAACCTGGGCCTTTAAAGAATCGAAAGGCGTTGTTTAGGTGTTCAACATGATATACACAACGTTTTTTTAATATACCGAAATTTCAGTATTCGTGAAGGTTATTTGTTTAAAACCATTCTTTTACACAATAAGTATGCCGTCACTGCGGCTTCAGTAAAATATTTTTGCGACCTTTCGATGAAAAATATTTTGTCTCAAAGATGGTGACTTAGTTTTTGCGGAAAATGCATCAACTGTCTAAAAATACATAAAGCATACCGAAATTAGCTTTCCTACATAAAGTGAGCATCTATTTTATTTATGAACTTTTATTTATTAAATGACAATTATAATGCCACATTGGGAACAATTTAGCAACTTGTACAGTAATAATTAAAACTGCATTTCAATATAGTTTAACAAAAATGCTTATGCAACCAGCATTCGAAGAAGAAAAACACTTTAGTCTTCCGCTATAAAGTGCATTATGCTGTTTCTTCAGGAAGCAAAGTGGAATCAAGGCACATTTATTAAGGCGTATAACAACTGATCTGAGCTGTTATCTTTTAATCTAATTATCTGATATAAACATCCTAATTTTCTTAATTTAAGATACGTCGCCAGACCGTTCTGTGTGATTAATTTCATGCTAACTGCGTCCAATATTTCTTAAAACATGGCCTAGAAGACGCAGTTTAACGCTTTTATAGTCCTTTTGAGCTTGTTTGCATGATGTCAAAACGCACTCATGTTTTAGTGCGATATAAAAATTTTTCAAAACTTGTCAAAAGTTTGTAGGTTCGTAAAAGTTGGTTATCCATGCGTAAAAGTTTGATACTACTGCATGACGGGCTTGGGACTTCCATTTCGCTCGTCGAAATCAACTTTCCTCACTTCTGATCTTCACTGTTCCCTTGGCTACAAATCGATTTCTACTTAAAACTGATAAGTAGAAACATTCTGTTAGTACTTGTTTTACATCAAGAGCAAAGTGTCAATTGTTCCTCGTCAAAACGATAGGAGAAAACATGACATGTAAATATAAGTACTACTTTCCTTTTTCCAACTGCAAACGCTTTTCGTCGTTTACACGGGCACTTCAGGCAAATATGCCTTATTATTCCAGCCGTCATAGATAAGGGTGATAATGAAGGTATCACCTCACGTTTGAATAGCTTTTAAATACCATCATAACCGATGATTTCGAAGGAAATAGTTCTATAAGGCAGATATGGCGAATCAAACCCATTTCAATCTTGCCCTGCTCTATGGAAGTTGACAAGATGAACGCCAATTTGATGCTACATTTTAAAGACGCATTCCTATTTGCTGTCTTCTACATCTCCTTGTATTGCTGGTAAGATTAACAATACTGTATGCCTCCTGCGGCCTGTTCGGTCTGATGACCAGTTTTATGCAGTCGTCATTTAAAAAAACTTGGAAAACTAGTCACAAAATGCTCATCAATTGGGATATAACGTCCAAGGTTATTACTTTTAGGATAAATTTGATTTCAATTTTAGGTTGACAAAAGGGCACCTTTAAAAATGTCATAGCGCCAAAATATCAGCTGCTCAGTTGTACAGTTCTCAGAAATATAAACTATTTTGTCCACTTGTGTAGTACAAATGCATAACAACAACATTTCGGAACAATATTAAGGTACATAATACGAATAATTAGCTAGGTCAAATCTTATTTGGAGATCAATAGAATCCGATTGTTAACACAGATGGGTCATGTTCCCCATGTATTACCATGTGACGTTTCAGCGCTCCACTTTCCGGAAAGAACGCTTTCACCCCTTTTACCTTTCAGTTTAATTTGAGATATCTACAGGCGACAGTCTAATATTCACGGATGGCTGCGTCACCGCAGGTTTCGCTAAATAGGCGCAGCAGCGGTGACTTGTGCGTAAAACAGCCTACAGTGAGTGACCGATCTCATGAAAAGTTGGCTGAAATTCTGAAACGCGTTTTCGATTAGGAAGGTATAGTTGGTCGCGGCTGCAAAAACGATTATCTTGCGGCATAATCTTATAAAATTTCGGACTCGGTAGGATGTCAGCTTTTTAATTCACTGCTTTTCAATCTCCTGGAGAAACCGTACTTGGTGAAAAAGTGGCTATCTAAGTAGCATGCATTTTTCCCATTGATTTTCGCTGGTTTTGAAATATATCTTATGTATTCAAATATATCAAATATATCTTATAGATATATCAAATATATCTTATAGAAAAAATAAACAAAAGTATGCTCTCTCCTGGTCATTTGATGGAGAATTACGTCTTCTTTATGTTTGATACTCAAGAAAGAGGTATGATTACGTTTTAAAAAAGTTTCTAATTATGAGATTTTTTAAGACCGCGCAATGTCCACTCACATAGCATCGTACCTGACCGTTTACCACAGCTCCTCATGAAATGTACAAAATAGTCCACATCCATTACAAAATTTTATGGACTCCGTAAGGAACCTTCTTAATGGCATAGAAAAAATATGTGATTTTCTTTAAGCGGAACGCATGCACCTTCTAGACTGAAATCACTAAGCGCTGATGAAACGACTGATCAGGCTCCAAATCATTCGGCAATTAGGAAACTTTTTTAAAACCTAGTTATACTCCTTCCTTGAGTATAAAATATAAAGAAGACGTGATTCTCTATTAATTGACAGAAAGAAGGCATATTTTTGTTTATGGTTTCTATAAGATATATTTGAATTTCCAAAACCAGCGAGAATCAATTGGAAAATACATGCTACTTAATTAGTCATTTTTTACCGAGTACGGTTTCTACAGGAGATTGAGAAGCAGTGCATTCAAAAGCTGACATCCTGCCGAGTCCGAAATGTTATAAGACTATGCCGCAAGATAATCGGTTTTGCAGCCGCGACCAAGTAATCCTCCTTAATCGAAAACGCATTTCAGAATTTCAGCCAACATTTCGTGAGATCGGTCACTCATTGTATAATAAGGCAGAATTACGCAACACCAGTCATACTCCCCTTTCCTCTCAAGCCTACTTTGCTTCGAGGCCAAAAAGTTTAAGACGACTAGCGGTTGGTGCGGACATTGTGTCTAAACAGACCGTCTACCCGTGCCACGCACAACCCAGCTCCGTAGCATGTATCAGGCTCTCACACGAGCGCGTCACCTGCCACGTACGCGAGAGTGCCATAGAGGCCGCATTAAGCAAGAGCCACTGCAGACTGGCTGTCAGTCCTGGGAGGAGGGGGAGGAGGAGGAGGAGGAGGAGGAGGAGGAGGAGGAGGAGGAACGAGCTGTCTCGTCATTTGGCAGCCGTCCAAACCACGACTCAGCGAGTCGTGATAGATTCGAAAGCGTCAAATTTATTATAATGGCTCCAGTGTGCCATGGAAATTGATTCCCTAGTAGTGTCCTCACGTTTCCTTTCCCTTTCCAGGCCCCAATCAACTCTCCGAGTCTCTCAGCGAACGGGTGATGATGTGGTTGGGTGTAGTGGTTGACATGGCGTCTGGGCGTGCTACCACATTCTCTCCGTGCACGGAAATAAGCATGGGCTCGCGCGGACTTTTTGATTCCCAGAAAAAATATGCACCCTGAGCCAGTCTGACTTCTGTGTTTCTCCAGAACTTCTGCAACATGGCCAGTGGTGGAGGCCTGCAGGCACTTTGTTAGCAACGATCAAACAGCATTACAAGGAGAAGCCTGACATATACGAGAGAGAGAGGGATCAAATCGAACATTCCTGGTTGACTTGCAATCATCGGTCAGCCGTCCCATACTCCAGAGTCTAGGATTAAATTCGTGGCCGAAAGTCATTTACTATTCAAGTCAAGCACCTTACCACACGGGCCACAAGAGTCTGACTCCTCTCGACTGCGATCGTGATTGTACAAAGTAATATGCAGGCGATGTGCCTGTCATCTGTCGTCAAGAAAGACCATGTTCGCCCCGTTTTAACTGGAAAATCCAATCGATAGACTTTGTAGACAGTTTTGAAAGTAGCAAACAACCAGTAATACAGGACCACGGACAAAGGCGAGGGGGTTGAGGGGGCCGATTAATATGTGTTTAGCGTCATCACTGAGTCCGATTGGCGTTCGAATCGCAGACCAATTGGGCTACCTCTAGCCGATGAAGGACAACGAGCCCGGATTGGGTATTCCTTGTTCTGCTATCATCGTTGACGTTCCTTCTACATTCGTTCCCTTATCTGCCCTTGTTAACCAACCCCAGGTCGTGAAGATCCGCGACCATACCCGTTCACTCCTAGTTTAATTGCATTTTCCCAGCATTGATTGCGGTCCTGCCGTCCAGGATCTGAAATAGCTTGTTTGGATGCTCGATTGGGCTCGCAGTCTCTCTTTTTGTAGTCAAATTCACGAAGGAGAGGAAACTACCACTTGCACTCCGCCGAAATCAGCAAACGTGCTTAACGTATTCCCGACGAGTATTTTAGATCCACCCAGAGACTTGACCCATAAAGTCTACCCTCCTTATCAGCTCCTTTCCACTACTACACATTCATTTTGTAGGAAATTTTCCCTGGTAGTTCTAATGTTGACGAATTACGAAAATTGGAGGCATTTAAACTGAACGACTTTTTGGACATTTAAGTCGTCTTATGTGTAAGTCGGCTAGAGATGGCGGATCGAACCGGGAATCGGTACCTGCATATGTCCGACGGATGTTTCGGAAATTAGTTGCCTACTGTCCAGATATGAATACAACAAAACCCTTCCAGCCAAGTTTTTTTCGACCCAAATCTCAACCTCTAGTCTAGTTTGGGTGACAATGCATTTCTAATTCATCTCAGTCTGCCATGACCGCCTAGCCCAAAGTTTGCGTTACTTTGTGCCCAACACGACTACCGCCCTCCATTGGTCCAGTATGGTCTGCGTGTGTGTGTATGGGAACGTGAAGCTCCATCCCTAAAAATCGTTGATTCTGTAAAAAATAAAGCTCTGCAGCCGGCGACCAATCAAAGCAGCTGTTTAAATAGCTTTGCGCGTGCGCATTTCCGCGTGCCCGCGCTTTCGAAAAACGACGCGCAACCATACGCATACAACCCACTCTCCTTATCCACTTCCAGGCCAAACGCTTTGCCTGCTAGTAGTCTGTCAGCCCAAACGTGACAGAACCAGCAATTGGGTTTGTCTATCTCTTATCCGGCTAACTTACAGAATTCATTTGAAGGTACTTTTTGACGTAAGTCCTCGAAAGGGATGTCTAACTTACGTACCTTTTTCCGGCTGTTGTGCTTCAGTACGAAAAAAATTTGACTTTTTACGCATGGTTCCTAGGCCCTTGATGTGTTTTTTTTTCATGCAAATAAGTCCGGCATATCAAAACTCAACGCGTATAAAATTTAAATTAAAGCCCTTTTTCGTCGCTAACTCTATCAGAACATGAAATCTATGAAATCGGCTCTAGGATTTACTTACCGCTAGCTGGGCTTCACCAATTCGGTTTTAAATCCAATAAGATAATTGTTGGCAGCACGCTTTACGTGATACTCTGTCTTATCTTGCTGGATACAAACGTACAATAAATTTACTGTTGATGGCCTATTACTCAGCGACCTCACACATGACTCTGGGCATTCGGTGTTTGCAATGGCGTTTTCGTGGTTAAGGCACTAAAACGAAAGAAAATCAATTATCAAGGGAAAACAATGAGAAGCTGAATTTTCTGGTTAAGTATTAGGCGATTTTAGTTGAGCGTTTGCGACATTGCATAACTTCGAAATGCGAACACTGATTAATTATCCTTCAGTAATCTTTCCTTGAGAATATGTTATCATTATTTTCATCAAAATACATGTCACTTCGCTGGCAGATAAGTCACACGGTTTCGTTTGCGGATCAAAAGCATTCCGATATGTACTATTCGGTTAGCAACAGGACAATCCTGGATCAGAGTGTAATTTTGGGAGATAGCCGTAACTTATTTGGCAGAATCCGGTCAGGCTAGCAAGAATGAAGCAAGGCCACCAGTCCATCACGGATTTGCCTCTAAATAATTGCTTGGTGTTCTTGAAATATTCGGTTACCATGTTATGAAAGTCTCCGGCTGAGAGTTCTTTGGTGAAATTATCGTAGCACGTCCTACCATCAAAACTGCGAGTTTTATTACGGTGAGGTAATAATACCGAAATCGATCATCATATGGTCGCATTTTCGCCTTATTTCAAACTAGAGAAATAGGTTTAGACTTGTAATAGTAATTTGGTTTTTCCATACTAAATGCAGGTCTGAAGCCCCCGGCTACAAAATATACATTTAGTTAAACGACAAAGGTAGTTGATTAATCTGAGAATGAACCAAATAACTTAATACACTTTCATTAGACGCCAAGCTCTCTGGCCCTCTCCCGTACATATCATGGTCTAGCAGTCCTGTATCATTTAATTAAATGCATTAAGGACGCTCAAAACTTCCAAGAAAAGTTTATCTTGCTGGTGAGTAGTCTAAAGAGCATGCTAGATGAGGAAGAATTATGACGGCGACCACTGACATTCTCAAACATGGTCATTGAAGCTTATAAAGGAGGGATCTTTGTGCTATTGAAGGCCAGGTTACGCTCCAATATGATCTAATATGTCAAGTCTAGAACGTAATTATGCTACCTGTTGACCATATCTACGTCTAACGGTCATTCGTCCCGATTTCGTTTTCTTCATCAGGGATAAGCCATTATGAAAAGCATCTAGGAATGTAGAATGGAATCCACTCTTTAGCTACAATAATATTTTCTGCAAAGTTGAACATTTTATTCCTTCCGAGTCGCCTACAGCAGAATGTGTGGCGTTAAATTCCAGCCAGTTTCACAAGATTGTGTTCATCCGAACGAAGTTTTTTCTAGAATTTCCGTGTACCTATTTTGTACTAGTTTTTTTAGTTAATTCTGATCCCTCAAGTTCACAAACCGTCGTTCGAGGATAAGTTCTCACTTTACTGCAACTATGTACATCATAACCTCGACCCACTGGATGTTGATGTTGCCGTCATTTCTGGCAAATTCATTAAACTAAGGTCGAGCTGGATATTTATTGTCTGCCACATGAGCAAATACCCGCCTGTGATTCACGCGATTTTGGCAGCTTTCTGTTGGGATTTCCTTTCCTGAGCTATACGCGAACTACAGAGACCTCGAGAGTCGAAAGTGAAAATGCCAAAATCACAAGAAACGCTAAGAGCCTTTCAGTGCTATAAAATCAAGGAATCACGACAAAGGTACATTTTTGTTGCTACTGATGGAAGTCCGCAATGCGGCTCGGAGAAAATTCATTAAAACACTATCACATGGGCTACGAACTTATTGCCTATTGGTCGCGTTTGGAAGCAGTCAATATCGATTGTACGTGATATTTTTCGCCCACAAGGGCTCCGGACTGAGGCTATACGGCAACCCCGAGCCGCCTCTTACTCGATTTTTAAATTATTATAAACGTCATTTGCATGTAACGCTTATTGTTTTTCTGGGACTCTACTCGATTTTATAAGAGAAAAGTTCAGTATTGTTTTGTTCAATTAAATGACCTTGTGATGCAGGCATATTCAACACGCAAAAAGTGTTGATGCGATTTTTTATTGGCTTGGGCGACGAATTAACCAAAAACCCAGCTGTAAATGAATTTGCGGCCTTAGCAGGCTTTCGAACTCACTTTTGTATTAGTGTTATATCTTCAAACGCAGTGTACATATCTCAGAAAGTGCAACATTAGTTTTCCGACTTGTATAAGCTGAAAACCTCCTCAACTAACATTTCGACTGCGGTCTACTGGCCTTCAATATTTGCAAGCGCTCTATGATTTCTTATGCATAATAATACATGTTTACTCTGATTTTGTAGTAAAACTAATCATGTACAATTTGTTATGCCTACGGCATAGTCCGGTTTCCCACGATCATCTCGTCATAGTCGTCTGCTGATGATAAAATCCCTGAGTATGAGCAAGAGGTCAAGGCGCGAAGTCTATTTAGAAAGAAGATCCGTCATGGGTGGGATCAAAATAATTCTCCTTTTGTTGAACCTTACTTCTGCCAACGACGCCGGCAGATCGTGGATACAGCCCAGGAATCCTCCCCTCTGCGACGACTTTTGTCTATGAATATTTTTGGTACTTGTACAAGTTTAGTTAACTTTCACGGAAACAATGCAGTATGGAAATTATTTCGTGCACGCATTTTTAGGAATTTAAACCTGCATCAAATGCATTGTTCATTCCGAAAAAACTTTGAATCGCTTTTCGAATTCGCAAATATTCTGAACGCTTCATAATTGCACTACTAGATATTTATTCTGAACAGAATTAATGCATATTCTCCCGCCCGATGCGAACAAAGCTGCATACTCTACAAGTTGTATTAAATAATGCATGGACGTCAAGTTGAGAAAATAACTCTATGGAAATCTTAAAGGTCATCTGAGTATCAGGCATTCCTAAGCGGAGTGAACCGTTTTTAATTATAAAACTTAAGGCAAATTTAATTTACCTCAAAAAGAAAAAGGAGCTATTATGTACACCGAATATGCAAATAATAATTAACCGTTCACAAGTCCTAAAGTTAGCCAATTAGGTATGCATTTAAAGTAGTTATCTTTGCGCGCTGTTTGCGAAGGCGGCCAAAAGAAAACTTCAGTAAAATCAGCCCTCGTTTTCATATTGACCAGATCTGTAGTTCACCCAGTGTTATTTTGTTGTAAAGCTGTTTTCACGAGTTATTGAGTTCGGAAACAAGTTTGGACATACTGATGTATGCTTTTTGAATTTCATCCACGTGGTCTTGGGTCAAAATCTCCCCAAAAGTCTTTTAATTCTGCCGAAAAGTATTAGTTATAATAGATTCTGACGGGTTATTATGATGAGTCTTTTTATTCTTGCATTGAAGCAACTGACCCAAGGCCTACATGGTTTTGCAACTAAAGTAGCTTTCGTGTACGTATTTTTTGTATAATTAACAACTTACTCAATACTCTTTGCATTTAAAAGCGAACGCTAGTACGAAAGCATCGTTAAGGACCTCGATTTTTGTCCCACTAAATTTCCTACAAAATAAGTATAAAAAAATACTTTACTGAACTGCGTTCAGCCATCGTGGTGCGATGTTCACTGAGTTGTTACCTTTCGTTTACAGGTAATTGCCTTGCCTCTGATGTGTACCTATTAATTTTATTTTAAGCCATGCTGGGATAAATGCCCATTTTTTCGTTAGATAGAGGCTAGTGTGAGACTTTTAACCTTTTTTCCTGCAAGAAGTTCGCATACATCAAACGTAAAAAAAGTTAAATAGGGTTTTTGTCGTACTCGACGGTGAATCTTTTAAACCTAGTTATTAGGCAACAAGTAGTAAGATCTCAGACACAAAACTTCCTGAATTTTCACATCACTTTTCACATCCTAGGCTGGTTGACTGGAACGCCGGCCTTTATCTCCATTAAAGTCACGCTCGTGTATGGAAGCCAAAGCGTACTTGATGAATTGCATAATCCCAATTATAATCTGACCGAACATGGCCTGATTGACAAGGACATTATACTCTTTCAACCGGACGCCGCTGATCAGCCGATCTCAGCTGAACCAAGATCCCAACATAAATTTTTCCTACGCTTCGAAGTCGACCTATTCGACGAGGTTGGATCCACCAGCGAATCTGACTTCCTAGTTCTTTTGGTCTACGTTTCTGATTGTGTGCAAACGGACCGCGTTCAAGCTGTCGTCAAAACCGCTTCAACCGGGGCTCAAAAGCAAAGAACATACAGACAGCTAGCAGCGCATGAACCATTGAAACCGCTGCCATCCCTGCTTGACACAATGTTGATTGATACTCACGGGATGCACACTCCTCTACCCTTCCTTTTGCTCTCCGTCTTCCTTGGGAGCCTCTATATGATCCTCTTCTTGGCCTTTGTGCTGCTGTGCCTGTGTAGGCCACGAAAGCGCCAGTTTCTCTTTCCAGCCCTGACTGTCTCCCCAAAAGCCGGCGATGCACGCCGCTCCTCAAATACCTCGGCCTTTACAGAGATCGCCAACTCATCCACCTCCGCCCTGATGAGCAGCGAATTGGATGCCGCCAGAGTACATAACCATGAAAGCTATGGGGGTGTAATGCAGCTGAGACGCCTTCCAGCGGATCAGACCCTCACGTCCAGGAAGGTGGTCATTTTCTTCTATGTCTGCTTCCGCGCCTTCACTATTCTCCTCTTCACCTTCAGCGTCGGTCTCTCGCTCATCCTTAGTCTGGAATCGTCGTCTTTCAAGATACTCCTTGCCTGCATGCAAAACGTCAAGGGCGATCGGGTGAGGGATTTAGTCAGTCCGGAGAGGGCGGGCAAGATGCTGCCCGGCGGTACGCGTCTAGCCTCTCATTGGCTTCAGGAGCTGAGGAAAATTGAGCGCACATCAATGTCGGAGCTTAGGAAACAGGTTGGTGAGCAACTATTTTCCGCTGGTCAACTACACTGTTGCCTACAGACGGAACTCTGCAGTGTTTGTCGTGTCATTTATACAGTTCACCCGACGGTGTTATAAAAAGTAACATAATCTAGACAAGTGTCTCAGAGAAATTTTGGGTCAGTCGATGTGGTCAGTCACTTTATTACTTGCATATGTATTTGCTCTAAAACTGTCTGCAATATCTTTGCGATGCCGATGCAGTGAAATGGGCCTAACATTGAATAAGCGTACTGAAGCCCAAACAGTGCCCGACAGGGCAACGGGCTCGTAGCCCAGTCGTTAGAGTTGTGACCTTAGCTAACAGGTCGCGAGTTCGAGCCTCGGGTGTTCCACACTTCGGGGTTGGGTATGACTGGCTGACGTCGGCTAGTAAGCCAGAAATGGCCATTTCAGTCTCCCTTGTCTTTGTCGGCAATACCATTCTACCTATATATCATGCGCCGCTGTGCGGCTGCTGGTTGGGCTCGAGAGAGAGCCCTTAAGGCACAACGGAACGAGTGAGTTCCGTATGAACGATCGGTGAGCGCCCCCTACCATTGTATATTCCCGATCGAAAACCGACAGGGCAACGGGCTCGTGGCCCGGTGGGTAGAGGCGTGGACTTCTAAAACAACAGGTCGCGAGTTCGAGCACCGGGTGTTCCATACTTCGGGATTGGGTATGACTGGCTGACGACGACTGATAAGTCAGAAATGGCCATTCCAGTCTCCCTTGTCTTTGTCGGGAATGCCATCCTGCCTATATCATGCGCCGCTGTGCATGTGCATACTATGGCATTAATCTTCTGCGGCTTCGGATGCAAACAAGGTTTGACTGTCTACATTCATGCCGGTGCGGGCGAGTTGCCAATTAACTGACATCCAACTTCAGTTGCAGAGAATTTGGCCCCCTTACTGTATGTATTCTCCTCGTCCTGGTCTGGTGCGATTGCCGTGACCTGATATTCATAGCTGGGAGTGTGGGTACAGCCAGGTACCATTTCCTGCACTGCAACTGTTTACAATGATGCCAGCTGTCTTCCCATTGCCCGTGTATGCGGTGCCATTTTTGTCTATTATTTACTACTTATCTTCGTCCTTGAAGCCCCATCGCCCGAGGGATGTCCGCAAAACCTAAGGAGGCTCTTTGGCAGCCAATACGACGATTTATGAGTGTGCAGGCACGTTAGGAAGTTGTTTCCACCCTGGATGTGCAGTTTTCTTCTTTCAGTCGAGATGTTCGGCATTCTTGAGGACGGGCGCGTTTCTCATTGCGCCATACAGGCAATCCCTAATTTAGACTATCGTGGCGTGTTCCCTCGTGCTTGTCCAGGGTTATCTTTTGGTCTCACAAAGGCAAACAAGGTGGGAATAACGACACTGAACGCCTGAAGGACAACTTTCTATGTTTCCGTTTAATGCACGGATTCCTTAGGTCTCGGCATCTGGTGCCGTATTTTCGATTTACCCACTGAACAAGGGCCATCACCCGAAGCCGGATAAGACGCGGGCCCGCTGAAACTGTATGATTACCTCCTTCAGACCCCCAGCTCTCCAACTGCAGAATTTTACAAAGTTTTGGTCTATCTGTTTCGTCTGAAAATTTTTGTGGATACTCGTTTGTTATACATCAGCATCGGAGGAATTCCAGTTAAATCCGTACACCTTCCACCTCTGGGCTATATATGTCCAGGTGTTTGCATGCTGTTTCTTTTCTATGGTAGCGGTCGATTTTTGTTTAAACTCAGATTGGGCGTGAGCGTCGCTCTAGCATTGTATGTACACGACAGCAACCGGCAGGTCGCGGGATCGGGCTGTAAGGGCCGCACACCTCAGGGTTGGATATGGCTAGACGATGGGGACCAACAAGCCGTAAATGGTCATTCCAGTTTTTCGCGTGTTTGTCGGTGATGCTATTCTGCCTATATTACGCGCTGCTATGTGGCTGCTGGAGGAGCTAAAGAGAGAGGGCCCCAAAGCACAACTGGACGAGTGAGTTTCATAGCGCTATCGGGGAGCTCCTCTCTACCATCGCGAGTTAATTAACAGCCTGCGTACCACTGTTCTCGACGTTTGGTGACCATAGACGTTAAAGAAAGGTCAATACTTGTTTCCCTCTTGTTTTTCCATGAGGTGGATATAAAATGACTGAAAATTTAAGACCCAATGAAAGCATCCCGATAGCTTACGTCTGATGCTAATGCAACTGTAGTCGGTATACCGATGGCAAAACCACGATTGGTAGGTTTTGAACAGCAGCATCTCTAATTCCCGACAAGCATCCTCAGCAGTGAATTGAGGGAGCAAAAACCCAGTCCTCCAGTGCAATCTAAATGAGCGTGAAGCGCTTTCCCAGGCGGAACGTGAGCAGTCAAACGAGATAAATCAAGTTTTAGGACTTTCTGAACTTTCAGGAGTTTCTGAACTTTGCTTTCGGCGAGAAAGGGTTACTTGGGTGGTTTCGTGATATCGATCGCCATACAGCATAACAACGAAATATTTCAGTCAGGCAAGAATGCTGGCTTTCGAACTAGCTTCTTTTCGGCAGGCCGCAACTAGCTCACTCGGCAAAAGCCACTATCTGAGTAGTATACAGTTTTCACTACTGTTCAATGCCTTTATAAATTCGGACAAGTTTTCTAGAAAGGTGCACGAAAATAGTCTTTCTTGTACCAATTAATTAGCAAGTTGAATATTCTCCAAATGATTCGCTCAAAGAAAGGGTACCTTTGTGCTTTCAAGTTTCTGAGTATGCGATTTTTGATCTCGAAATATCCATTTATACAGTATTTCACCTGTCTACTTGTCAATGCTTCTTATGAAATGTACATTAGCATCCGCATACACTGCAAACTTTTATGGGTCCTAAATGACTTCACTTTTAGAGCGTATAGAAATGTACTATTTTTCTCATGTGGAATGCGTAAAACATGTGGTTGGAAACCTGAAGCGCTTGTGCAACTGCAAGTCAAGTCCAAAATTATTCGGGAATTGAAAAAGTCATTTAAACCCTCAAGGCACCCTTTCTTTGAGCATAATGTTTGAAGAGAACGTCATTTTCTAACAAATCAGTATAATAGAGGCTACGTTAGAACAGGCATGCATAGCAGGGTTTATTGAAGCCAACAAAGTTCGCGATGGCTCATCAACTACAACTCGTAACTTTCTCATTCGCCATCTCTGTTACGCAGCGACAAGTTGCAATTGATAAGCCGTTGGCAAATTTGTTGATTCCAATAAAATTTGCTGTATAGGCCTGTTTCAAATTCTGCCAAGGAAATATTGCTCCAAAAACTATTTTGTGTATGTTTGCTGTAAGATATGTGAGAATTTTTAAGGGCATTCAAGGTCAATGCGAAAAATTTACTCTGTTAACATGGTCATTTTTTGACGAGTGTGTTTGCAGCGGCCGAAAGGGAAGAAGGTCGTTCGAAAGCCGACATCCAGGCGTAACTGGAATATCAATCTTCTGACAATGCCAAAGTAATCCTCTCTAATTAAAGAGGAATTGAAGAATTTTTGGCCAAAATTTCATGAGATTGGCCAGCTACTGTGCATGGAAGGTTCTTGCTTACGGAAAATTGTGGTGAACCATCCCAGTAGTGTACATTTGCCACTCAGGCTCCACGAGGTCTAACTGACGAATTGCGTTG